GAGCAAGAGGTGGCAACGAGAAACAGGCAATGAAGCAGAGCACTTAAACAGGACTTAAATAAGGCCATCTATCAAAGCCAAGCAACCGCTGCAAGTCGTGGTTATGAATGGCCATCGAAACCTTGGGCAAACAGTGAGGATGCAACTCTTTCCAGTAGCCACTTACCCAAACTCTGAAAGCCAAGGGGCACCTGGCCACAAAGGAAGGTCTTAGTCCATGGGCAGCTCCTTACGCATGGCCAGATAGGGAGGCTGATCCATGAAGCCTAAGAGGTGTTTCCAGGTAATCTAGCCTCCCCCAGAGCATTCTCCAGGTGTGCTGGAATCCCACCACCCCAGCCATGCTGGTTGGAAATGGAAGGTGTTGTAGACCAAACCAACTGGAGGGGGCACATGGGGGATGGTGTCATACATCAACACCAGTTCAACACCTTTTGAATTGCATCTGGAAGCCAGTGGAAAACCAGGGAGATTTTGAAGGACTGGAGAGAGACACTTATCACGGGGAGGTCCAGAAAATCACCTGACACTTTTTTTTTAAATCAACATGGATTTAGGAACACTTTTCAAAGGCATACTCATGTGTTCCTATTATCAGGCCCAGATACTGTGGACAACTGTGGTGAGACCTGCTTTTTCCGAAAGGAAGCACAGCTTTTCTATATTGGTACTCTTGTATTTTTGCTAGTAGCTCCAGCAGTAAAGTTGGATCTTGAACAGAAGCCAACACAAGTTGGATGGTCAGATGTTTTGGATCACTGGCTATCCTTGAAGGGGCTTCGGGCAGGTGAAGTCCAACCCAACTAGACGTCTCCCTTCTGCCCACTCCAGATCTAAAAGCTTCATCTCTAGGAGAGGGTACAGCCTGCCCTACACAGTGAAAAACCCACAACAGTTCATTGGTCAGATGAATCAATGGTGCTCAGATCTTGTCTGGATCAAGCTTCCATTCTTTAGCCTTTACCCAGCTTGTTACTGACCCCAGACCCTGCCTGGGGCTTCCACAACTCCTTCTAGACTGGATAAAAAGGGGGCACAGAGCTTGGATGCCATCTCTATAGAAACATCGTCTCTCATTGCAAATCTCCAGGTGGCCTCTGCCTGCGGTTTCATACAGATATTAAGAGTAACATCAGAAAAATACGATGTTCTGTAGAGAACAGAAATCCAGCAAGTATCACTTTCGGGGGTCTACCTCGCACAGCCCTCGCACGGGGCCTCCAGAAGAAGATCTCGATGTAGAACTGCCTCTGCAAACGTGGATGCTTTGTGTTAAACATGTTTGCTCCTCTTCCTTTCATCTTGGGGAGGAGGAAAGATTTATATTACTGGTTGCATGATATTCTCTGCCTACAGGTAACGACGTAGACCGTGCTTCTCGTTTAACTTCAAAGCCCCCTTCTCTAGCACTCATAACAACATAGAGCACAAATTATGCCGCAGCTTGCTTTTCTTCGCCATGAAGCTGTAGTTCTCCCTTGTTCCTGATGGGGGAGAGCTTGCACAACCAAAGATGCAGACAGCTGACTGGCAGGCTGGACCTTTAAAAATTCCTTCCCCTTTGCTGGAATGGTGGCAGAGGGGTCTTGCTGATTTCTTTAGAGGACCGCATGCAAGCCATGCATCAGCACATGTGCACTGGAAAGCAAATGCACCGAGTTGAGTGTTTTTAGCGAAAAGCAGCTGACGGAGGGCTTATTTTGAATGGAGAAGCGGTTGTAGCGAAAGTGGGGGCACTGAACCCTTTACTTGTCTTTGATGCTCATGAGGAGGGAACCTGGCTGGGTGAGTATCTGGAGCAAGAAAATGACAGACAGAGAAAGACGTTGACTCAAAAGACATTAGACTCTCTTCCTTCTTGAAGGAATGGGCTTCTAAGCACCGGCACTTTATCTTCGTGTGTTTATATTTAGAGTACAGGTACTTGCAAAGGATGAAGGCCAATATGGGGCAGGAGACAACCCATGCTGGGTATCTTTGGAAAACTAGAATTTGCCATCAATTAAACCTGGGACCTTCTGAAGCCTCTTTGCTCTGGCCACCCCCAGTAATCTCAATTCCGGAGCTCCTTGTGCTGCAGTTGGTGATGAAGAGACTTTAGCAGTTTTCTCTAAGCTGCTGCCCAGGGCTAATGTCAAGAGCAGGTAGGGTTGGGCTCACTGGCTGCAGGCCCCTGGAGTTGCTCACTACAGGAAGGAGTCCACGTGTCCTCTGAAATGGAGGGCCATCACTGCTTATTTATTATTATTATTTTTAATTCAAACCAGCAGAGCAGTGGTTAGAGCTTCAGATCGGGGAGGTTGTGCTTGCACTGTCTTTCAGCAGTCTTCAGTCTTCTGTTGTATTTAAAACTGGAGGAGCATTTTTGCAAACACCCTGGGCTGACAGAAAAACGAGCAAGTGGGTCATGGATCAAGTCAAGCCAGAGCTTTCCCTAGAAGCAAAACGGACTAAACCGAGGCTGTTGTAATTTGGGCACATCATGAGGAGGCAAGGCCCCCTCATGCTAGGGAAAGTCGAAGGAAGAAGAAGGAAAGGACGACCAAATAAGACACGGATGGACTTCTCATAGGAAGTCGCAGCCTTGAATTTGGAAGAGCTGTTCATTCACAGGGCTGCTGAACATTGGAGATGACTAGCAAGTGGTCATGTGGGAAGGGGTGGTCCTTCTCTTCTCCCTCCTCTGCAGCCTGTTAGTTCTCTTGCTTCACAACCTGGTTCTTACAGTCTAGCGGAGAAGATGAAGCCTTTCTCCGACCACTTGGGGAACATAAATTCCTGCCAGTCTGGTGGCTCCTGACTGCTTAGGTCCTCCTCCTGCAAACCCCCACCTCTGAGGGAGGCTTGGGCGTCAGCGACAAGGGGAAGGGGCTTCGCAGAGGCAGCCCTGCAATTTCAGAGCAAGCCACCCACTGAGGCCTGCCTGGTGCTCGCCCTGCTCTCCCTTCCAGTGCCAGGTTGATGCTTCCCTCTGTGCCTTGGCATTTAACAGCTCTACATACATGAAGGACTCACACTAGCTGGTTAACTAGTCTGGTTGTCTTAAGCTATTTAAGTCGTTCTCATTTTAAAAAAATCACAATGGAAGCAGATTTGTATGTTATAGAATAACTGCTACTCGAATCCCATGGTGATGTTTTTTCAGCTGAAAAGGTGGATGCAATCAGGGAAACAGGCAGCAAACCATATGCTGGCGTTTTGTGTGCATCTGTGCACATACATGCACACCAGAGACAGACCAATCCGTCTTCTTCAGGTCCACGTCAATGGCACATATGTTCATTCGTAATTTAATTCTGCCTCATTTCAGCCTTAAAGTGCATAACCCCCCCCCCTCCCCCCAATGTATGGACACTTGTATCTAAACACTATTTTGAAATAGGTTGCACCTCGGGGTTCAGGTTTCCAAATGGGTGCTTTCCTAAAACACATTTTCCCCGCACTCCAATAAGCTTTCTAGGGTGGGTAGGTGGAGTGGAGAACTACAGTCCAAAATCTGGAGAAATGCGGAATCTGAAAAATGACTGCATTCTGATCCATACATTCCTCCAGGAAGTGCTGAGCAATTCACACTGGAATTTGCAAGCACGGACTTGCCCGAGCATCCTTAATGTACGGTTTTTAAGGCATCTCCAACTCCCAACACCCCATATTTGAGCTCCTAAAGGGTGGGAAACTTCAGTTACCCTGGGACGCAATTAAGTTTCAAAGAAACTGTTACAGGCAGCTTTCCAGTGGCAGGTGGGGCCCAGAGCCAAGCGGGTGGGGTCAAAACTGCCAAAGTGGTAGCACATGCTACCTTCAAGCTCTTATTTCTCGGAACAAAGCCTCTGGAGAGGTACTTCTCCTTCTAATAGAGAGAAATTTCACAATATAGGGGAAACACCGAATGATGGATGATAGGGAGATAATGTCTGTGGATATCTGGGAACCCCGAGAGGGTCAGGCTGGGACCCTCCCCTGAGGTTCCCCATCCCTCGAACAGAGGAGTGAAACCTGAAGCACTCTGTTTGAATCTTCTCCCAGTCTTTGCCGTCCAGATGTTTTGGATTACAACTCCCAGCATCCCTGGCCATTGGCCATGTTGGCTAGCTCTGACTGGAGTTGAAAATTGCAGCATCTGGAGGGTATCCGGTCAGCAGAGTCTCTTCTGGTACACGTGTGTGACACATTTAAAAAAAGAGAAAGGAAAGAAAAGGAATCCTTGACCTAGTCCAAGATGTGAACTTGGAATGCAGGGAGAATAATATTTTAGTGACAGGGCCCAGCAAACGAGGCTCTCCCTGGCCAGCAGGCACAGTTTGAAAGTTTATGGGTGACTTTTTGCATGTTTACTCAGAAATAAATCCCACTGTGCTTTTACTCCCAAGTAAGGACGGATGAATCAGCCTTTGTTAGTCTTACATGTATTCTACTGTAAGTCCAGTCCAATGTCTGCATCAGTCTATAAATTAAAAGCAGCCCTTCTGCATAATTTTTCTGTGAAACTTTCCCCAGTACATGAATTTCTGCATTTTTGAATCTGGGGCAAAAGTCATAGAAGTGCTTTGTCTGAAGGGAGGCGGTGTTGTGATTTGCCTGAAAATGCCCACCTTAGGCTGGTTCACACAAAGTGCAGAGCAAAGCAGTTGTCTGCCATCCCTCCTCTCAAGTAAACGTGCACGGCATTGTTCCAACGAGTCCTTTTTGCTCACAAATGAACAATCAAATATCCCTGAAAGCCAACATATAGTTTATATAAGTTTAAATGATTATCTCTCCTGGTTTTATTCCCTTCTCGAAAAAAACATCCGTTTAAGTTTTCTTCTTTTTGTTTCTGAACTCTCCTAAATTGTGCCTCCCCATCCCACCTTTCTTTCTAACTGGCTGGTGTTAGGACCCAGCAAAAGAGGAAGTTTGGTAACGTGATATAAATAGAGTACTCAAACGGGACAAAGTTTGGGAAGAAAGCATGACATCATTTTGACTTTCTCTCCACCCAAAGAAGACTGCATGGACGTGCAGCCTTGATTCAGTCTGTCTGTCCAGAAAGAGAAGAATTCTTTTCAACACAGCCCTGACAGAAGGAGAAAGCAGCTGAGAGGTGGAGGGCTTCAAGATCATTTTGTTAACACCTGACTCTCACCCAAGTGGCTCCAGACCTCTGATAAAAGACAGCTCCAAAAAGGGAATGACAGCTAGAAGTCTGGGGAGAAGCTGTGTTTGCAGCCCACTCTGGGTCCCTGCCACGGAATCGGTGCTCATTGAGAAAGTCTCTTCTCGCTCCGTTTACTGGAATTTATTTATTGGCCACTGACGTATTCCACCTTTGACGGGAGCAAGAATTCCTCCTGGGACCTCTGGGAGGATTTCCACACCCCACCTGAGCTTGGATGGAAGGGGTGCCCTTTGAACCTGCGTGGATGTGTCCCTCTTGAAAAAACATCTGCGCTGGTGCCAAGCTCATCTTTTGTGATCTGAGTTCACATCAGCGGTTTGCTTTCGGGTTTGACTTGAGGAAGGAACCATGAAGAATGTGCTGTCTCTGTGGTGTTGCCTCTTGTTTTTGATTTTATTTCAGGTAACCATCTCAACATAGTCCAAGGACTTTTCTCCCAGTTTTCTTTTTCTTTTTTTTCATGGAGACTTTACCTTCACTATCTCCTGTATTCATATCCATCTTCTTCTTCTTGTCCACATACAGGTGTATGGAAATCATACCTGGCTACACAAACACCCAGGTAAGGAGCCTTCGGGTTGCTATTTTCAAATGCTGAAAACCTTTCTTTGGAACGGCAGCATCAGATCTGCTGCTGCTGCTTGCCTGTTTCTATGGAAGCTTCTTGGAAGAGGGATTCCCGAGGCAAGGCAGCAGTAGGGGCCTTGGCCACCGAGCTGCTGGTAAACCAGTGGGTAAGGTGAGAGATACGCTGCTGCACAGGACAGTTTTGGGGCTGTGCATGCAAGGAAGGATGAAACAGGGGTTCAAATCACTCTTCCCTCATGCTGTATATTGGGAATCCTTCAGCTACGGATTTTTTAAAATCCTAACCTACCTCGCAGGATCGTTGTGAGACTTCAAAATAGGGACCATAGATAAAAATGTCACAAATGATAAAGCACCATGCAAAATGGCTTGGGACCCATTTTATGCTCACTTCAAGCAAGAGTGAGGGACCTGTGCTCCTCCAGGTGCTGCATTCCAGCTTCCGTCAGCCCAAGCTGATGGTGGGGGATGCTGGGAGTTGGAATCTGGCAACAGCTGGAGAGGATGTACTTTGCCGCCCCGATCTACTGCCATTCGCTCTGAGGGGGTCCTAATATGAGACACGGTTTTAAGATGCTGCGTTCCCCCTGCCCTCCGCCCTGCCTCTCGCTTTCCAGCAGTTTGAAGCGGCAAGTGAATTTCGGCTGGGAAAAGGGTGCAGGAGAAAAGGCTAATATTGCCCACCACCCTGCTCCATTCAGGCCCCTCCTGCCCCATCCCAGCCGCAGCCGCAGCCGCATTTCATTAAAAGAGGAAAACGTTTGGTGATCCAAGCACGGATCTCCGGTGTAACGTGTCATTTGCCTGTTGGCGACGGACAGATCCTGCCCCTTGGAACCGTGTCCACCCTAAGGGAAGGCGCTTCATTCAGCAGGAGAACCCCGTTGCTTGAGTCCCACATTCACGGGGGAGAAGAAGGTGGCAGTGGCTTTCAGATAAGCGTTCCCCAAACACCCCGCGTGACCCCGCATCCGTGACTGTCACTGCTCGGTGGCTGAGCGTGAGGTTGCATGCGGACGATCGCAGGGCTGACCGCCAGCCTCTCTGGTGGGGCGGGCAACATCTCCTGCCTGAAACACTGAGGAGTTGCTGCTGGCCAGCCACTGAGCTGTGGGGCCACCACCGAGAAGGCCCTCTTCTGCATTTCCCGCCAAGCATGCCTGTGAAGGGGGTAGGACGAAGAACAGGGCTTGTCCAGAAGATCTTGGGGTATGGGCCAGCTCATAAGGGAGAACAGGGCTTTTCAGATAACCTGGACACCACCCCCCACCAATATTGGGCTTTACGAGTTATCATCAGCACTTTGAATTGTGCCTGGAAACTGACTGAGAGCCAGAGAACTCCTGCAAAATTCCACCACCTCCAGCTTGCTATTTCATTCACCCAAAGCTCTGGTTGAAAACAGAAGCTTGGGAAGATGGTGGGTGAAATTTTACAGAGTCAGGCAAGGTGCAAAACTATGTACGCTACCGAGAAGGTGGATAGGGAGTAGTTTTCCTCTCTTTCCCTCAAAGGTGAATGGTGGGAGATTCAGGACAGGTGAAAGACTTGCAGTGCTTGCGTTAACAATGGAATTTACTTCCCAAAGATGGAGTGATGGCCACCAACTTGGATGGTGTGATAAAGGAGTAGACCAATTCACAGAGGATGAAGAAGGCTATTAGCCCTTGGCTAAACGCAGCCTCTAGTATTAAAAGCAGGATTTCTTTGTTGGTGAAGAACATGAGCAGGAGGGTGTTTTACTCCTGGGGCTGGCCACTGGATGAAATGCTGGGTGAGATGGACCTTTGGTTTGATTCGGGGGAGTTCCTCTTTTTCATGCTGGGAAAGCACAGAAGGAAAGGCGGCATTTCCCTTATCTCTCAGATATGTCAGAGATATGAACATTCTCCAGACGTCCTCCTGCCCCCCTGACACGCACAACCTTTCTCATGGCCAGCTCTGGTTGACGCATCTCCCTCAAGCTGCTGAGAATCCACAGGTGCAGCTTGTTCCATGCGTGGCTGCAATCCGAGGCAAGCTCTGAAAAAAAACTAGATTTTCAGCCGTTTGTCTGAACTAGGAAAATGCTCCTAGGCGTTGTACTGGTGTTGTTCCCAGGTTCCCAGGACAGGGCTAAATCTGAGCGAAATCTGGCCCTGCCAATTTGCCACCGATGGGCAGGAGATGCACTGGGAGGGGTATTATGAATAATTTGGAAGGAAGGGGACCCACACCATTTCTAGATTTATTTATGGTGGGGACTCTGGCTGGCTTGCAGATCCCACCGGTGGCTCCCCTCCTCCCTCGTTTTGCTGTGGTCACCAGCCACGACCTTGGCGAAAGTTCTCTCCACAGTTGCTTCCCAGCAGGACAGCAATGGCTTCTCAGAATGATGTTCTTCTAAGGGCCTGGTGGAGAGATTTCAGGTGCAGCTTACCTGCCATCAGCCCACCTCTGGCTAAAGGTGAGTGCATCTTCTTTAGCCAGAGGGGTTCTCTGAAGTGATAAGCCAGTGGATATTCCCGGACACCCTTATCAGCCTGTTGCTTCAGTCAGAGCGTTGTTCTGTTTTTTGGGTGCCAGGCAAGCCTGAGAAGGGGAACCAGCTGCCTATGGCTACCAGTTACTCTATGGAGTAAAGCGAAAAGGCTGCAGTGAATGCCCAACATTGCAGAGCCGAGAGGCGAAGCTGAGTGGTGGCCCAGCAGAAACCAGGTTCACCAAAAGCAGGAGGCACACCTGGTATTCTTCCCAGAGATATCCTTGACTGACACGAATGGCTCCCATTCATTCCTATGGAGAGGGAAATTTTCCATCTCCCTTCCCTACTCTTCTTGGGTGAAAGACTGGAGGGAAGGAGCTTTTGGGGTGTGGGAACTCTGCCCCACCAGCTCATAGGCTCCGGCAATCCTGAAGCAGCTGGGACAGAATTGGAGTGTCGGAGGAGAGGGCTTGTGGTTTATTTTAACTGGTGATTTGATGTTTTACAAGGCTGCTGGAATGATCGGGTAGTGTTTGTCTCCAGCATACTCCTTTTCTTTGTGGGGGGGGGTGAGGGGGGAGCAGGCGGCTGCCACAGCCTCGCAATTCGCTTACTCTTTTTTCTTGCACCACATTTCTTTCTCTCTTTTTGGCTGGCTTTCTTCCTCCCCTGCACTCCCCCAGGGCTCTGGGAGGTTGCCAAGCAAGAAAAACACAATCTCAGAGTGGAAGAGATAACACGCTTTTGCTTTAAGAGGGATCCTAAGGGAATATACACTTGTACTGATCGTGCAAAACTCTTGATACTGCTGCACCCCAACCCCCATCAGCCCCAGCCAGCATGCTCAATGGTCAAGGATGATGGATTTTGAGGTCCTATGCATGTCAGGCCACTGGTTCCCCACCTCTGGCAGCAGGTCCATTCATGCTTCCTGATTCCATACAGGCAGAGTTTCACACTAAATATTTTATGTTATTACCTTGATTTTTATAAGCCTATTTATGAGCCAAGGATCTCAGACAGACTTGTTGATTTAACAGTTGTATTGCTAGAATGTTTACCCTGCAGAATGAAGTCATAAATCAAACCCGCCTGCAGCTGTGTTATCTAACATGCATGAAATCCCAGTTTTTCAGGGCTGCACCCTTTCAGCGGCGGTGTGGCGCGGGGATGTCGAATGTCTTTCATCCCGAGAGCCACGCTGCCGTTTGCAGACCATCTCCGAGGTCACCTTCCAGCTGTGGGCGGGGCTGCAGTCAAAAGGGGTGGAGTCGAATGCCAAAGGGGGAAGGACCAAAATGCCGGAAACACTCCCCAATACTGGACCTTTGGCTTCGGAGCGGCACAGAGATGGCCACATCAATTAAGCTTAATGTGGAGCTTTTAGTGCCAGTAGCCACGCCAAGGAGAGAAATCCATCCTTTTAATATGGGGAAAGATGCTGAGAAACCTAGAAATCCCCATTTAATGGGGCGGGGGAAAGGGGCAGCGTTGGAGAAAGAGGCATGGTTCTCTGAGCCGGAGGGACCCCCTATTTGAGGGCAAGGACTCTCACTCAGCAGTGGAGCTCGAACCCGTTCTGCTCCTCCAGATCATGAAGGAAGCCAGCTGTCTGACAACCAGCCTTCTGATCTTTACCACCCTGTTGGGTGCACCCCAGGCGCTGTTCTCCACCCCCACCCCGCACCCCCTTGTAAAAGACACACAACAGTTTACAAGAGGCTGTTTGGTTTTCTTCCTGGCAGGCCTATTTTTAAAACCACCCCAAGGCTTCTTTGGGGAAGGCCCCCGCACCCACTGATTCTGGAGATGAATTTGTCACTGAAAGCCCTCCATGGCCTGTTTTACATAGCTTAAATCCACTTGCCCACCTGGATCTTGGCACAGTACGTCCATCTGCAGCTGAAGAAAGGATAATGGGGAACTTAGCTGGAAGGCATATTTACTTATAGGTAGGAAGCAGGAGACAAAAAGTCCCCCCACCACCACACACACACAGGTGTTGTCTGGGTGTCTGCAGGGGGGTGGAGTTGTTAGCTTTGCATTTTTCCAGATGCTGCTTTTGTACACTGATGCCAGCCCCCCCCCCCCCCCCCCCCCCCCCCCCGCGCAATTTCCTTTTATGGAGACGTTCTCGTGTGTGTGCATTGCTTTAATGGGCTTTATGCCTCTGTCTGTTTTTACTGTTGCTTTAATATATTGTTTTTACGGTTTTATGTTCACCACTCTGGGATTGCCTTTGGTGACAGAGGAGCCGCATAGAAATGTTTAAAACGAACAGATAAATCAGTAGTTTGATCTCGTTTGTTGTCCCTGGGAATTGCAACTCCTCCCTTTGGGAGCAAGGAAATGAATGTCGGGTACGGCTAGGCAGAGAGATGTGGATTAAGAATGAGTGGCTACCATTTTGTTCACCGGTGGCTACCATTTTGTTTTGGGATGGATGAATGCAGTTGACGACTGGCAGGTGGGCGAAACGCACCGCCTCGCTGTTTTGCAAAGGGGCAAGAGTTCTTCTCCACTAAAGGATTCAAAGGCAATAAGCACACAATGGAAAAGAGGCTTATTCTATAGAAAGTCAGTGTGTTCACAGCATGGTCTGGAGGGAGACAAGAAGGAGTCCTGGATCAGAGCAAGTCAGAACTTTCCCTGGAAGCACAGATGATGAAACAGAGATTGTTGTATATGAGGCACATCCAAAGAAGGCAAGAGTCCCTGGAGAAGACGATAGGAAAAGTGGAAGGAGGAAGAGGAAGAGGAGGTCAGCTCCATCAAGGAAGCCACAGCCTTGAGCTTTCAGGACCTGAGCAGAGCAGTCAAAGACGGGCCTTTTTGGAGGGGGTGAGGAAGTCACCATAAGTCAGAGATGACTTGATCGCTCATAACAAGAGCCACAACAGCATATGTCTCAGAGGTGAGATGGGCAGGTAATGCACTTATGGCCCTTCACTGACCTGGAAGCTCAGGGAGAAGATGGATGGGCTTCTTGGCCAAGTTACCCAAAGCTGCTCTGCAGCTCTACCTGGGCTGAACTACCTGCTTGGAGCATTTTGCTGGGGCTGAAATATTATTCTGGTGATATCGTTCCACCTGGGTATGACTAATATATTCCAAGGCCAGCCAATCAGGCACAAGATAAAGGAGTGTCCAGCACAGATTGTGATGGCAACTTCCTTCAGAGGAGAGGAGAGGAGAGGAGAGGAGAGGAGAGGACATTCTTGAGAGAAATCTGTTCTGGTTGAAAGCTGGTGTGCAGCAATGAGAACGCAGGGGATCTGGGTTCTCATTTGCACTTGGCCATGACCCTCACAGTGGGACTTTGGGCCCGTCGTTGACTGACCTAGCCTACCTCACAGGGTTATTTTGAGGATAACAGAGAGAGGAGGGCATTACAGGAGAAAGGGTGGGATATACAGATAATGAATACAACAGTTAGAAAATAAGCCAGAGAGCTGAAGTGACATTCCCAGGGGAGCAGATCGGCACACCCCTCCATCTCCTTGAGTTTATCCCGTTCTCATAGAGACCGGAGGTGGAAGGCAGGCAGGGTGTGTTGTCCGGATCACTGGCTTGGGTTTCTTCCTTCCCGAATCATCAATGGTGGCCAGACGGGGCCAGGGGAAGCCAATGGGTTGCCCTTCAGGGCATTCCTGCAGCATGTGGGCTGGGACCTGCGTTGTGTGCCAAAGAGAAGCCGTGGCAGGGATCGCATCCTTTGCGGGCTGTGAGTGTTGAGAATCTGAGGCGCTGCCCTGGCCCCACACAAAATGGTCGCCGTGGCAACAGGGAGGCACCAGGCCTGCGATGGGCCTCCACACCTACACAGTGCTTCTCTCAGGACTAGGTGAAGAAGGCTCCATTTCCCAGTGTGCTCCAACCACCAGCTGCCTGGGGCATGCTGGGAACAGAGGGCCCTTTTTCTGTCAAAATGTGCCCAGGATTGGGGCCTTCAATGTATTTTACACCTTCATGTTGCTGCGAGGGGCTCTTCGGGCTTTTACGTTGATCTTGTACCATAAAACATGCTTTAAACTTTTACGGCATGCTTTATGTTATGTTTTATGGTTTTAATTGTGAACTGCCCAGAGAACTTGAGCCGTTGGACAGCATGGAAATGGAAGAAATGTAGAAAATATGTACTTGCCCAAAGGACAGCCCACACAGCAAAGGTGGGGGCTGCCCTTCGACCCACCGAGCAACTCCTTCGAACCTATTTCAAGCCTATTTCACATCAGTCTGGACTTCCAGGAAGAAAATATGTTCATTGTAAAATGAGAATCAAAATCAGTACAAGCCCCAAGGAAAACCAGAGCAATGGTAAAAACAGAAAGGATAGCAAACAAGGAAGTTTTTAACAGGTGCTGAAACAGCACCCAGCTGCAGTGGGCGGGTGTGTAGGGAAGCTCTAAAGAAGAGGGGCCACAACAGCAAAGTCCCCCCCTCTAATCGCCAGCACATGGATGTGTGAAGGTGAAGAAGCAACCAGGAAACCCCAAGATTTGGATTGCAACAAGCGTGAAGCATGCAAAAACATCACTGAGTGTTTATGTACAAATGGCGTCTTTGTAAATTCAGCAAAGGGCAGGGGAACGAAAAAGGGAAGTGAAGCTAAACAAATGCAGAAAGCGATATTCAGCCGTTGAGGAATAACCTTCTACTATTGTGTTTTCTGGACAGGTTTTGATGTTCTAGCCCAAGCATCACATTATTGGCCTCTGGGGACTGTGGAAGGAATCCATGAATTTCGGGACACAAATGGAGGTAGATCAAAGCATGGTGAATCCCCCCTCCCTTTCTCTGAGAATAGCCTGCTTGCTTGTGAATGTCTAAATGCAAAGAAACTCGGGATTTCTGATGCCCTGGTTCCATTTTGTGCTGTGCTGTCGATCTTTGAAACCCGAAGGATCATTTCTTAAAATCATTCCTAAGCTGCCTTCCACACAACTCCTGGGCTGTTTCGGCATGGCCCTTGCAGAATTTTAATTATGAAGGCTCAAGGGCGTGAGGCCCACATGATCTGAAATGCTGCTAGGAAGCCAGGCCACTGTTGACCTACTGCTGTAGGTACCATGTTAATTGGGTGGAGCAGAATTCTTCAAATTCTTTTCTCTCTAAAGAATCTATAAAGTTTCTTCACCATCTGGTTTTGATAGATGCAACATCCTGTCTCTGTTAAGGAAAAGCCAAGTGGGTCTGGACTATGTGTTTTCTCCACAGGTGCAATGGCTCAGGGATTTGGGGGCACTCTGTGTGTTCATGGATTGTCACCCCATTTCCGGTCATGTTCTCCTACCCCACTGGTCCATCAGATCTTGCAATGTAGCATCTTCTTCATCATCATTTACGACCTCCAGGACTCCTTTCCATTTAACTTCTATACCCCACAATAGCTGAAGATCTTTGAGTGATGTACAACAATCCTTGAAAAAGACAATCTAAAATATTGTAGATTGAGAGCCAGTGTGGGGTAGTGGTTAAGAGCATGGGACTGGGACTCAGGCGATCGGGGTTCGAGTCTCCGCTCAGCCATGGAGCCAACTGGGTGACTTTGGGCCAGTCACAGACTCTCAGCCCAACCTACCTCCCAGGGTTGTTGTTGTGGGGATAAGATGGAGGAGGAGAATGGTGTAAGCTGCCTTGAGCCCTTTGTAGGAAAAAGGCAGGATATAAATCGAAAAATAAAAATAAACAAATAAATACACCACATGTTAAAACATAACTTAAAAGGTTGCCATACAAAATTTAAAAGCAAATTTAAAACACATATGTACTTCCAAGAACTTATTCTTGTACAGAAGTTTGGTTGGTGGCAACCGATGCTCAGCAGTGGTGAATCTGGATGTGAAAGGTCTCTCTCTGATCTATGGCCAGTCAATGATGGACATACTTAAGTGGACCAGGAAGAAGACTTTAGATCCTACAGACACTTAGGGTGAAATCCAAGGCAAGTTTAAACTTAAGCTTGGTCTAAACTTGCACAGCTTCATGTCTTTGACCCCATGGATGCAGTGGACTTTACTTGTGAGTAGACAGTCATAAGTCACTAGGCATCGTTCAGCTGGTGCAGCCTCCAATCACATATTGCAGAGGGCAAGATCCCTGCTGTAAAACCTTCTCTGATTGTCCATCTCTTCCATTTGTTGGTAAAGCCGTGGGATTTTTTGTTTGTTTGTATGTTTGTTTTCCATCCCCCTCCACTGTAATTCCACGCCGTTGTGCTTCACTCCATGTTTCTTGCTCATGAATCTGCTGAGTTTCATCAGCTTTTCTATTGTCCTAATCCATTTTTATCTGTTGAAGTCCTCGTGTGGCTGGAATCCAGCTCCGTATCTCTCAATTCCTCACTTCTGTAGATGCCAATGTCATCAGATTTGCTCTCGGGGTAGACAGATGTGATATGTTCATGCTGGTTCTTGGGGAACTTCCATGGCAAGTTGTCACTGCGTTGCAGCCAAAAATTGACAACGGTGGAAAATGAGGTCTGCCATTTTGTATAAAATTAAAGAAATGCTGTTGGAGTGATAGAGGACTAGCTGTCAGTGGTTATTACTAGCTGTGAACATAAAGGAAGATTCTAGGGTACATTCTACTGGGATGTCCTAACCTTCCGAACTTGAGAGATTACAGGCTGATTATTATTTTATTGCTAATATTATTGTTATAGTAAACAATAAAGTTCTCAGCTTTAATGTTGTTTTCAGTAATGATTCATACCCTGCTTTGGTGCCTGATGGGCACTCTAGATTTTTCTGGTTTTGAAAAGCTAAATATCAGAATTTAATTTTATTTTTCACTTAAAAGTTCAGAAATGGATAGCTGTCTGGTTCACTGGGCCCATCCTAGGGGTATCCCAAGACTAACAAGGCATTTATTTTCAGAACTTTGAGAGATACGGACTGGGCGACTCACATCCATCGTGCATTTATTCATTGTATTGCTTTTTGTGTTTGTTTTTTGTCGTTTCACCCAGCTCTAAGACTCCACAACTTCACTGTGCTTCCCTCCCATAATTCTACTTTTGTATATACCAATGATTCCGCCTATTCTAACTCCTCTGCAACCGTAGGTGAGAATTCAGTATGATTCTTCTGCATTTGTCGAGTTTAGTCCCGGCTGCTTAATGCTGGATTTGGAATTAAGTTGTAATTGAAGGCTGAAATGATTGAAAAGCAACCAGAATTTTATAAATAACATTGTTTTTTAATGGGGAAAATTACTTTAAAAACAGGGTATACAATATACAATTATGTATACAGTGATGGTATGCAGTTTATGTAGAGGAGACCCAAGAAGGTTCAGGGAAGATGTACCATCTGGTTAGTGCTAACCAAGGTTTGCTACCTTAGTGCTGGCTTGGAGTGAAAGTTTGGCACTATGGACTGACTTGCTCAACTGAGCAAGAACAATCCTGAACTATGGTTCAGATAATGACTGCACTGGAACACAATGCTAAACTTGTTTAATTAATAATGGTTTGTTGCCTCAGCCATTAATGGTCTTGCACGTAAACCAACAAACCGTGGCTTGTCTTCCCTATCTCTGGCATGCTTCTCTCATGCTCTGCAGGAGCAGTTGCATTTCCAGGCAGCTCCTGTTGTTCCAGGGTAAAAGACAGCCCAGGCAAGCTGGGGGAAACCATGGTTTCCGAGTCAGATTTCAGGTCAAGCTATCGTTTAAACAAGCCAGACTTCAGAACTCAAGAACAAGCCAGGGGTTCCTTTAGCAGTATGTGGCTAATTCAAAAGTCAGGCTGTGCTTGTGTGGACGGATTCAGAAATGATGACAGGACACACCTCGACAGATCATGCCATGGCTTAGTGTTGTGAATGACCCGGGCAGATCAGATGTTTCCGTTAGGCATGGCTCAGTGTGTGTGCTGCATTAAGCCTTCAATCTTAGCTGAGGTGCACACAGCACTGTGATCCATGCAACACATTCAGTCCCACATTGCTGCTGTCTTGTGTGAATGGGGAAACAAACCAGGAAGCTGCAATTCAAATCTGCTTCCTGTTCTGCATAAATTGGGGTATAATTCATGACTTGCAGACAAGCCAGCATCTGATCCTGGCTTATTGACTAGAAAGTAATCATAGGTGCCAGTTCTAAGAGGAACAGGAAGCCATGTGCAATCTCTGTTTCCTGGTTTGTTTCTTTCATCAAATAATGGGATGAGTGTTTTGTGCGCACCAGCTCTATCTATTTGGGTGGGATTGATGGCTTAGTATCATATATGAAACAGGTCTCTCATTCAGGGAATAAAGAAATGATGGTTAAGAATTGTTTCTGTGTAGGATCATGTCTTAAGGGGTTTGTATTCTGATTCTCACTTTGTACTTCAAAGTGTCTGTGTAGCCATCCAGCCATTGCTTCCATTGGCTACCAGCTCTCTGCTTTCCCGTTCCTCTGCCATCGGGAAGTAAGGGTTGTATCTCCCTGCTTCCATCCGAGACCAGGAGAAACTTGGGATGCCAAATTTCTCCCCACTGAGTTCTCTCTAGGTGTGATGGATGGCGAACTGTGGCGAGGGGAGCTTTGTGTTCAAGGTGTAGAAGAGGAGGAGGAGGGCCAGGCAGTGGCAGGCAGGTGTCTGGTCTCATGGAGATAGAGATGAGGGGCGGTGAATGGGGAAAAGCAATTGAAAATTACTTCAGCCATATTACTAGGCAGCTGGGGCTGGAAAGGCTGTTTTTTGTAAAAACAAAACAAAGCATGTTTTTAATTAATCCCACTTCCCTTCCTCAGATATTGTGGAAGGCATAGTAAACAAAGGCATATGTGTCCCAGATGCAAAGGGGGTAACATTCCTTCTTTTTGGAAAATATCAGAACTCCTGCATAATTAACCCAGAAGTCTGCGAACCTGAAGGTGAGTATATTACCCCCGTTCTTGCCATCTACCTTACCTTCTAGTTTTTGCCGTCACTTCTCCCAGATGAAGTGGAGCAGCGTGGCAGAAAGCTGAAAAATGGGAGCATTTTGAAGCACTCAGAACCCACGCTCACAGGGTCTGCTTACGTGTGAACGTTGTGTCCTCATTTTTTTAAAGCCCAAATTACTTGCCTAGGAAATGCAAATGTAGTCATCAGACTAAATTATGCATATTCACTTATTATTGTAATTTAACTCTGAGCTTAAAAAAATAAGCAACACCAGAAATTCCCCAAACAAATTCCTCACAGAGTTTACCCTGAATGGCTTTGTTTAGAGAGAGCTTCCGCGTATTTTAATATCCTCCTCTCAAATCCATCTCAATGCATTGCCGCATCTGAACATCACCCCCTTAGGATGAGATTAGATTTCTCCAGTTATAAACTTAGCTGCAGAGAAACTGAATCTCTCTTAGGGTCTATGGGAAGTTTCTTCTAGGTCCACGGTAATAAATCCCAAACAATCCTATAATCCCCAAACTCATACTTAAAAAGCAAATCATTGCCCCACCGTTTCCTATAGGGCAGGGGAGCTGAGCTCCTTTCAGCCTTCTTTGGAGGAGCTGCCAGGAGTCACCTCAAAGTAGCAGCCAGGCCAAAGGGATGTGGCCCAAATACCAAAAATACTGGCAAATGCTGGCTGTGCCCACCAGGAGTTCAGATTCCAGGCGACTGCAAAGCAGCCAGAGTCTGAGGAATGAAGCTCAGGAAAACCAGATTCTCCGCCCACAAAAAGATTCCTTGAACATTCCAAAAACCGACCCTTGCTGTTGAATACGACCCTCTGCAACTCGTACACACACACACACACACACACACACACACACCCCAAATAGAGAAATAGTAAGCAATAGCAACCCACCAACCTCGTTGTTGCTCGACAACAATTAGGTTAATACAAGGCTCTGGATAAATGCTGCTGATAGCACGGCCAGCTTTCCAGGGGTCCACAACCAAGGCTATTAAGTCCATGCCTAACAAGGATAAATAGCAGTAGGGTAGCTGCCTTCACATCCCCCCTGCAAAGAAAGGACACATTTCACATCAAGTTTGCATATGTGCATCTCCATGTCCTGGTGCATTTTGAGAAATAATTCCCCTAAGAGGACACACAATGCATCTCAACAGAGGTGAATGCCCAGGAGACTTGTGTCCCACCTGTCCCAGTCACCAGCCCCTGCTGTAGGGTGTGACCTGGAAGCTCCTAGGAGGCTGGGCTTGTGTTGAGGGTCCCTGGAGGACAAAAAGCTGAAGCCAGTCTTGACCGCCTTCCATTCCGGGTGGGATGACGTGCTTCCCTCTACCGAGAAAAATACCAATTTTGGCAGGCTTTAAGTGATGTTCCCCTTGGTGGAGCAGATTGGTGCAGAATCAAGGAGACCTCCAAAACCAGATGCTTTTTATGGGAGTCCTCGATGCTCCTCCAAAGGGAGAGCGAGCCATTTATGCTTCACATTATATGCAGTTCCCTCACATGACTGAGATGGTAGGACACGGAACCCAGGACAACGGATGCCTTTTTTGTAACTCTGACTTATGCCGCACCCTCCTGGCTTCAAAACCTTTGGAGTCATGTTGTTGCAGAAGAAGGCCCCTGCCTCATAACTGGCAGACTCTAAGGACACCACTTCTGCATGGTCAACCAAAGAGGGTTTAGATCTGTGGATTTCTTGGCATAGATGCCAACGCAGAAGGAATTACTATAATTGGAACAGAAATGCCTTGTGTCTCCCCGCAGTGAGGGAGACTGTACTACAGTTTGTCCCTCAGGTGTGAACTCTTAACTCCGATTCCCACATTGCTCTTCAGATGCTTCTTTATCTTTAAACCAAATTGGACCACACAGCCATGAAAACAGAGGTTGGCTTCAAATTGAGGGCTCCCCATTGTAAAGTAGGGCACCTGGCTACCCTAGCAGATCCTTTGGTAATGTGTAATCTTGATCTCGAGGAGGCAATGATCCTTGGTGTCAGAATTGGTATGTAATGGGCTGTCCCGAATTTCATCCATTCCTAACACCTGAGTGCACGCAATCCATGGAAGCTCACTTAGGGGACACCCAAGCCTCATGCTTTGAGTTCTGTCATTCAGATCCCTGCTGAATGTCACAATATCCTTGACTAATCCCACAGTTCAAACTAAGGCAAAAACCCCAAACTTGGAGACGGCCCCAAATTCACAGTTACCTGAATTTTACAACAATGTTTCCCAACCAACCAACCAAATAAATAAATAAATAATAATAAAATCCATGGATGAAAATGAAGTTCCAAAGTGCATCGTTTTATGACCATTATTTACCAAAAAAGTATATTAGCAAAATTGTATATAAAAATGCTGGAACTTTGGGTTGGATAGAATGCAAGACTGGGAAAACTTAACATCTGGGATGGGATGAACCAAAAAGGCAAGGCTGGAAAAATGAGAAACTGAGAGAGTTCTGTCCAGCCCTAAGTCGATGCTCTGCCTGAAAGCAAAACTCTGGGGAATGCGCAGTCAGCTTAAACTGTTCCTGCCTCAGCTGGGCTGGTAGGAGCCCACGGGGGGCGGGGGGGCGAATGCTGAGTTGAAAAGGAGTCCACAGCCCCGTGCTTTGAATTCTTAACTGCCTTCCGAAACAAAACATGGAAACTCTCAAATGCCACTTCCACCTTCTCACAGACAACCATTTTTCTGTATCTCTCACCTCAATTAGGTGTAACATTCTCATTTTTCTGGAAGACTCAGGAGCAGCAAACGAAACCTCCCCCAGCATATGGGGACCAGGTACTTTCAAGCGGATTTAAGGTCTACTTCAGCGAGAGTAAAGGCTCGATAGAGCTGTTTAACCGTCAGATTTTCAAGAAGTGGGAGGCAAGCTTCATCCCACCAGGTAAATTTCAGGTTTTGTTGCCACATCTCTATGGTTTCCTATATGATACAAATAGCAATGAATCCCACTGGATGTATTTCTCTATTGAAAGGTCATCTGCAAAGCTCCTTTCGCAGTTGTTAGATGCAAAGGACAAGTTGAAAACAGAGATTCGTTCCACACTGTTGCACCGCAAAGGGGAAAAGCGAGAACTTTTGAACTTCTCCTGCCTACTTGAGCTTCGTTGGCCGGACTTGTGTACATGTGTTCAATGAACCAGTGATTGCATTAAGTCTGGATTCTGTTGCCTGTGTTAATTAAGTTAATAAAGCAAGCGGGTGTCCACATATTGAAACATCTAATTGGAGTTGTTTCTCTAAGCAAAGAAAATGTCTCTACCACCTTCTCCCCTGCGTCCACTGACGATTGATAGGCAGCTTTTCAGATTTAGAACAATTAACCTCATAATTAGATATTACACTGAGTTGACTGGGTATCTTAAATAAAGTTGTTAGAGAAGTTAAGGTTTCAAGTTAAAGTTGCCCTACCCGTATGTAAAAATCTCAATTTAATGTTGCCCTTCTGTATGTCAAATTCATTTTTATATAGTTTAACTTCTAGAGGAGGAGGCAGAAATTTGTCTGGGTTTCATATCAATATAACCTGACCTAATTGGTCCTTTCTAAGCTAGCACATGAGCTGTTACATAATTATTGTTTGGTTTCCATACTTCTCCAAATTTTGCAATGTGGTTCTCCATTTTTGTTAAAGTTATATTAGTCAAAGGTGCAAATAAAAATGCTTATATTATGGAGAAATCAGATTTTTCCAAAGGCTAGGCTTGCAAATGCTTTCATGGGCCTTTCCAAGCTTGTAAAAAGTTTGCCAGATTATGTTTGGAAATACTGCAAACAAATGTGCAAATTAGCAGAAAACTTGCACAAAAATGTGCATGAAGATTTTCAGGCAAATGTGTATGTAGGCTTTGAATAAAATAAAATAAAATAAAATAAAATCCCCAACAATTTTGGAAAAAGGATGAAATGAACCTGTGATTCAAAAAAACAAGTGTCACAGAGATTTGTCAAACCCTATTACCTTCTAATGAGTCCTTATTTCTTTATTGCAACTGAAAGCTAAATTAGATATCCTGCTGGTGCCCCTTGACAATTTTAATGGCTGAGAGATGTTTGGCTTGCACAGAAGTTTAGGGCCAGGGTCCTTTCCCACTCGAACTCAAATGGAAAAATAGCCTCCCAATGCAAAGACATCAAGTGCCTTCTTTCAATACGAAGCGCCCATTACTTGAATGGAAGAAAAGGGTACAAATTTGTGGTTATTTACTGTCTGCTTCTGTTAGAACTAAAGGAACAAAGAGTGATGCAGAGTTATGGAATCTTATTCCCTGAATGAAGGAAATAGTACTCCGCCACATACCACATCCAGCTTTGGAGATTTCTCTAGGCAATGCTTAATGAGTTAGAAACCTGCTTTTCTTTTCTTTTCTTTTTTTTCTTCTTCTTTGCATTTTTAAGCTATGGTTAGCAAATGGAACCTCCCTTAAGCACCTGCTTATCCTTTTTGGGAAGTGGGTTGCTGAACCAGATAGACCTTTGGTAGTGTTCTTCATATGCTCATGGAACCAGAGTGTCTGTACTGCCGTGCTCTTCTTTTCAGGCCCCCAGTGGACTCACGTTCTGTTTACCTGGAAGTCTGATGATGGCTTGAAAGTCTATGTGAATGGGACTTTAAACACCACGGACCCCAATGGGACTCTTTTCTACAGTTATGGCGACTCTAGCTCAAACATGCTGACGGGGTCAGATGGTGACCAGAGCAAGCGTTACGTCAGTGGAGCCTTTGATGAGTTTATCATATGGGAAAGAGTGCTCACTCCGAAGGAGATTGAGCAGTATTTCACAGCTGCTGTAGGTAAGTGGAAAGAGGGCCATTTTCCATTGCATTGAACCGATGTGGGTGGTGGGGTGGGGGGGATTCCCATTTTTGTGGCTGGCCCCTGAAGCACAGACAGGGGTGGGCTACTCTCAGCCCCTCTTTTGTCTTAAAAAGGCCTGCAAAAGGCCGGATGAACTTATGTTTTTATGTTTTTGTTTTTGCATGCCATCTCCACCCATTTTAGGCCTGGGCACCTTTGACTCAATTTGCAGAGGTGGCGATGGCTCTTCAAAAGCATGCAGCCACCTCTGCTGGTGGCCACAGGCTGCCTCTGGGATCAGAGTCCATGTGCCCATGTACACCAGTTGCCGGGGAACCTGGGTGCAGGGGTGCAGTTGTCCTCCAGACCAGCTTGTGGCTTTCCCACGCACAGTAGCTCAGCCTGGGTGTGACACACAGCTGGACTAGGCGTCCCTTTGCCCCAGTCCTACCAGACTCTTCTTAGGCTCCTCAGCAGTTTGTGCCTACAGTCGGGCTGAGGAGACACGCATTCAAAACTCTCAGATTTCCCTGTCCTCCATCCTGTGTCTGCTCGGAGCGCCATGCCTGCTATTTCTTCTTCATTTCTGTTCTGAAAGCCATGCTCTCAGTGAGTCCTTGTACGAATGGGTCTTGTCCTGTCTGGTCCTGGTCTGTAAACAATGGTGCTGACGGCGCCGGCATTCTGTCTGCTTCCAAAGCAGGGCCCCATTTGAAGGACTTAATGGTCTCCAGGATGGAATGCAGGGAAGGAGGCATTCTGGAAGTATCGCTGCATCCAAGATCTTAACAGCACCGAATATCTGTGCATCTGTCAAGGCAGGCACCTTAATTTAACAGGGTTAAACAAGGAAGTTAGGGGGACGTGCCCAAGGGGGCTGACATTGGTCAAACTTTGCCCATTTCTACCATGGTTGGTGCATGTGTGTGTGGGTCCTTGGGCGGGTGGCAAAAAATGATTAACATGCAATATGTCTGCATGCATATTTGCTTCTAGTTGAGCAGTCTGTGTTTTCTTCAACAGCTCCATGGGGACAGCAGGCGACCGCAGCTCTTCCAATGGTAGGTACATTCTTGGAGCAATTTTATTTATGCTGGAAAAAGGCTTCTATCCTTCCAAGATTCTGTGTTTAAGATAAACCCCCCACTAATCATCAATCAGCATGGATTCTGCTGTAGCTCCTGGTCGTCCCCCCAAATTCCATCTCTAATGGTAGGGAAACCTTTAGAACAGTGTGAAATTTGTAGGGTTGGGGGATGGTCTTCCTCAGAACGCCACCACTTTTCTTTCTGTAAAATGGGCATCTTGGGCTATTCGGGGACGAATATTTCTTTAGAAATATTTGGCCTCAGGCCTGACCTCTGTCTGTTTGTGGGGAAAGCCCTTGCCCTTGGTGACTGAGCGAGTTCTGTGGCAGCCCTCTTGTGCTGATGCCCACGACAGATTCTCAGCTTTTGCAATGCTTCCACAATCCCCAAAATCTTGTCTACCTGGGTGTGATATAATGTAGGGTGAGTTTAGGGAGGGATGGACAGATGAGATCATGCTATGCAGGGAAAGTTGGCAAGTCCTTTGTCAGTGGGGTTTCTCATGGACTGCAGCTTTTCTGCTCTGTCAGAGCCACCCATGGTGCTCCATCATGGTGAACCATTTTGGGGGGTGGATTTCAGCACCACACCTAGCTCTTATAATGCTGAAAGGAAAGGAGCAACGGACGGGGACCCCCACTGAGAAGGCATTCATCTTCCTTTCTGGATGTCATGTCAGCTTAGCATGCATTCATTTGTAAGAATGCCTCATCCAATTTCAGTATGACTGTGTGGATTTAAAGGAAGCAGCACAAAACACGTGTTTCTTTTTGCAGACAATTTTCTTTCTTGTATATATTCTTGTACACAACTTTCCTTAATGTGCATGCAGTTTTCAAGCTGGGAACCATATTGAAAAAGCTGGGAAAAAGCCCATTCCAAAGGACTGCAGTATTCCAATCTATATATTAGTCCCAGATGACTGAACTGGATGGGTTTGTTTAAAAAATGTGGACCAAATTAAACACTTGCCCAACTCTGGCTGCAGCGAAAGTGGGAAGACAAAGAAACAGGAAGGACATCCTAGCGGGTAAATTTGAGCCCGTGGAAAACACCACAATCTCCAAATAATTTTTGAGCCATTTGGGTTCTGACTGCTTTATTGAAGCATGATATTCAATACAGAGAAAATGGACAGAAATAAGAGAAATAGAGCCAATAGTGGAAAAATTGAGCGCTGAAGAAACAATGGCAGTAAGACCGGAAGGTGTCACGCAGCAAAGAGGGGCCATGAAGAGCTCAAGCAAATGGCCAAGAACTTATTTCAAGTTTGCTCAGCACAGCCCTGTTCGGCATGGATGATGTTGCCCGTGATGAGCAGAGGGGCTTGGCTGGGGACTCTCACATCGTACCACTGGTGGGCTGTGTGAGGGTTGGCCATTAGACCCCCCCCCCCCCGCCCCGGGAAGGCTGATAGCTCCTGCAACAGTGCAGCCCCTACCTGTTGAAGTTTTTCTTCTAAGCTTTCTAGGCGTCACCCAGAGCAACCCTCTTCTTGGGATAGATGCCATGGTCAGCACCAAGGATAGCTCCCGGAAAGCAGGGAAGGATCGTTGAAATGGTGACAGCTTGCAAGGCCTTAAAAGTCTGCCGTGATGAACCCGTGGCGATTTATTCCGCAGGCCTGGGGCCAGTGCAGAGGAGGCCCTTTCTCATGGGGCACCCTCCAAACTGCAGTCGCACAGGTGGGCAAATGCCCCGGTGTCTCCTGCAGATATGAAAGCATGGGCAGTAGCTCAGTATTGCTGACACTGACTGGCAGCAGTGGATTGCCACGAGCACTCCCAGCCCTATATGGAGCTGGTGGGGATTGGACCTGGGTCCTTCTCCATGCACTCCAGGGCCTCTTTCGCGCTTCAGGTTCCTCCTTGCTCTGCAGAAGACGTTAGCTGTCCTTTCCTTTTATATGTTTCATTTTTTGCTAAGAGTTTTCAGTTTTAATTCCTCGCACAAGAACATTTGCCGCCACCTCTTCCCTTTCCCTTTGGAAATTCAACTCCCACACAGCAAGCCTCAAAATGAACAAGACAAAAACAAATGGGTTTTTGGCATTGTTGTTATCAAGCGCGTTTAGCTGGAAAGCAATTTTCACTCCGTATATAAGCAAGAGGTTTGTTTTCCTTTAAAACCTCTCTCTGTGTCTTGCTGGTGGCTGGGCACAATTTATCCTGGTAAACTTTGGAATGGCAGCAAGTGCCGGATCCGCTTCAGAAGGTCCCCTGGGTGAGCCACCATGAGTTCTCATGTTCCACACCACACTTTGAAGGGTTGACCTGTGCCCACAACGCACACATGGAGGAACTGGTTAAGCTTAAACCAATTCAGCCGAGAAGGCTATATAGAACCTCCAGGCGAAGAGGCAGTGTACCTCAAAGCAATGGAAGTGGGGCTGGCCGACAGAGAGAAGCTTTTAAGTCTTCCCAGGGCTGGTTCTAGGTTCCTGAGAGCCCCAACTTCGCCACGTCTACCTTCTCATGGTCACTTCTTTATTTAAATGTGTGTATTCATATCTTGTTTTCTTTCCTGCAAGGAACTAAGCTGGCTTACATACTAATCCTACTTTCTGTGTTATCTTCACAACAATCCTGCGAGGTAGGTTAGGCAGACAGGCAGGGACTGGCCCAAAGTCTTCCACGGAGCTTTCATGGGAAGACTTAAAAGCTGGTGTGGTGGTAAAAGTTTTAGACCAGGGATGCAGGAGATCCAGGTTCTGGTTCCGACTTGGCCATGATGGCTGCTTGGGCCAGTCCCTCACCCTCAGCCTAAACTACCTCACTCCGTTGTTATTGTGAGGATTAAATGAAGAGGAGAACTCTGTCAGCTGCCTTGGGATCCTTGCAAGAAGAAGAAAGATAGGATCGAAACGTTATGTAATAATAATATTAAGGATACGAGTCACAAAAGAGGAACAATTTTGGTCGTGGCGTTTTGGACAGAGGCGCACAGGACAGAAGTGGAGCAGAGCCGACCCGGAAACAAGCTGCAGTGCGAAGCTGATCCAGGAATGTACATTGGCTCATCCCAACATTTTAGTTGCATCCTCGTGTTTTTAATCTGGAAGCCACTTTGGGAGCCTTTTCAGGGAAGCTGAGAGGCAGTATGTACATTTTCTCTGTGACAGAATAAACTATCCAGGAAATCCATCTCTTACAGGCTCTTTGGTAAGGACTGGCTGCAGCTAGCTGGGTTGGGAGGTAACAAGGATGGGCGACTTGTTGCCCTGTGGGGGTTTTGGCCAACAGCTCCTGTCAGCCTAAGCCAATGGCGGGGGAAGATGGGAGCTATAAGCCAAAACATCTGGAAGGCCACAAATTGCCCACTGCACATTCCGAAGGTGACGTAATGTTCAGAACGACAGTTTATTTCAATTTTTGGGAAGGCAAAGATCAAGAAATACCCCTCTTTTTTCAACCATCTTTCAGTTGTCTACCAGTGCCTATCAGCCCATCATAACTAACCTTACAGAGGAGACAGGAAATTTCCAGCGCCGGGGAATCATGTTGCAGTACCTGGAAAGCATTTTCCAAGCCTTACCCAATGAATCTATCTCAGCGAATACTGCCTTCAACCTCACAGAGGTAAATTTTGTTCTCCTGTTAATCAGTGTCTGGAGGTAAATTATCAATTTACTGAGGTAAACATATTTCACCTGTGGGTCAATTTACTGAGAGAAATTTCTCCTTCAGCTATTAGTCATACTGCTAAGGAAAATTTCTTTCACATCTTAATCAAAAAAAGGCTGGCCTAGGGGGCCCATGTTTGTAGACTGAGAAAAAATAATGTGGGGCAAAACGAGTGGGGAATTTGTCTAGAGGTAAAGAAATGATTGGCCATGCCAGAAAGTGCATCCATGTCGGGGGCGGGCATCTTACTTCCCCTGATGGGCCCATTAATAGGACTCCGACAGGTAGTGAATTGGTTTGGTAGAATGCTCTTTGCAAAAATTCAAAATGCACTTAAAAATATACGATAACAACAAATTCACATCTGCAAATGGAATTACTAAAAATAATATATCTATAAAACACGGTATTAAAAAAATACAATGGCTATCAAATCAGAGTGCCAGCACAGGAACTGAAAGCTGTCTGAAATTATATTTGCATGGATCTTCGTAGAAGCAGCCATTTTTGCAATGCCTTTTACATCATTGAAACAACCAAGTTAATACCTGGCCATAAATACTGGCATTGCTTTTCTGACATGAGGTTTGAATGTGATCTCAATAACATAGTCTCGGGAAACTTAAAATAAGCATCCGAACACGTAGATGGAGAGAAGATGCAGTGCGGAAGATCTATCACATTCTGGCTGGGGAGGAAAAAAAGAAAAACCCGGGGTTCAGAGAAAAAGCCATCAATTATGGCCCATATGGCATCACCTGAAAATAGGTAGCTATAAATCATGGATGTGCGACTTGCCGCAAGCAGCCCTCCAAGGTCTTTCTGGTAGGCCCACAAGCACACCCTAAGTCCCTGCTGAATTCTCCCCACCCGTTTCCCACAAAGACGATCTTCAGGGTGGCTTTTTGGGTCGCGGTGAGCAGTGCGCTCTCGCATGTTTGTCTGAATGTATCTCTACAGCGTCACATGCAGCTGTTGGAGCCAAGCGTTTGCAGTCCCGTGCCATGAGGGCTTGGCCTTGGGGAAAGCACGTGTAACTAAGGAAGGTCCTCTAGGAAGGGATTCTTTATATAGACCCAGCATAAAAGGGAGGCTCCTTGTGGGGGATGTCGTCCTCCGGCCCCCGCATACTGAAACGCCTCTCCAAAAGCTTAGTCCCTGGCAGCAAGAGAGGTACCGTGTAGCAGGCCAGTTTGCGTTGCATTTCCGGCCTCTCCCCTTCTGCCTTAGCCAAGCCCCTTTCCCTCCGGCCACTCCCACCCGTGTCCCGCAGCCCCAAGAGGGTCCCCAGAATGAAAGCTGGCCTCGGGGCAGCAGAGGGCAGGCAGCTTGTGCGGGCCGGGCCTGCCAGCTCTGGAGAGGCAAGGGGGCAGGTCAGCTTCCACTGCGAGAACGGCCCTCCACCCTCGCGGCTCATGGGCAGGAGCCGGACAGCTTTTCTGCTGACTCCCGTGGATTTTCCCTGTCGGCCCTGTTATCTGGCTAGGCTGAATGGCTCTCATAATCTGCCCTTTTTCCTCTGTGTGATGCAGTCAGCACTGCCTGCAGGATTTGAGTTGGCTGGGGTCAAGGAGTCACTCTCTGCTAACAAAACGCTGGCATCGATTCTGCAGCGACAGACAGATTCTTCTTTTTAACGATGGCTGGAATGACGCCTGTGACAGCGCTGATTTTGACAGCGACTGGGCTGGGGGTGGGGGGAGGGCAGCAGGGATGCAGATTAGTGGTCCAGGCAAAAGGAAAATGCATAGAATATGAGTCCTCCTTTTCGTTTCCCTATCAAACACCTATCAGATTCACGGTCTAAGTTGCCTAGGAGGAGGACCAAGTTCAGTTCTTAAAAATAGACCAATAGAGGGGAGAACAAAACCAGCACAGCTCTTCCTCAGCTGTTCAGCTTGAATTCCCATGCAGGCTGAGCCAGAATGTCGCTGCACAATGTAGCTGGCGGTGCCCGCAAGAAGAAGTTGGCGATGATGCCCAGGCTGTTATTCCTCTTCTGTAATAAACCTTTGTTTCTGCCTTTGCCCTCCTAGCAACCCAACAAGCAAAACTCAGCTTTGTCCGGGGCAGTAACAAGGCACAAATGGGTGATAAAACCTTACCAAGAAGTGTGATCCAAGGAAGCTGCAGCAGTTCCAAACGTGAAGATTTATTCCTCGCTTGCTTGGAGGGCTCGGGTGCTGCCCCTAGGAGTGGTCCTGAATTCCTGGCAGCCACGGGGCTGGATTCCTGGCAGGAACCCTCTCTGTGGGCTTATCCACTGGTGGGCCAGGCTGAAAGCAGAAGGGGCAAATACCAGGACGTTTCAGCAGAAAGGTGCCATCTTCCCACCATGCCCACAAGCCCCTGAAGTTGGAGGCTTATGGGCATCCTCTGAAAGGTGGGAGGCACGGCAGAGGCAAGCTTCGCCTCCCTGCTTTCCTCCTCCTCTTTCCCCTAGGTGGGCTTTTTCACCTGACTGTTTGGACAGGAAGGCAGAAATACCTCCTGTCCCGGCCTCTCCGTTTCGTCCAGTGCCCACTCCCTAAAATAGCCCCTTTCCCTCGCCTCCAAGGTCACTTTCCCAAGACAGCTCTGATTCCCAGGTCAGAATGCAGTTTCCAGCTTCTGCTTGGGATAGCCAGACTATGACACTGCCAAAGGATTCGTTTGTTCGGTCTTTCGTTCTGTTGGTCTTTCATTCTTGCTGCTGCTCACTAGGCTTTAGAAGAGCGGTTGCAGCCTTTTAGAAGGTGGAGGGAAAGCCATGCAAACATTCCTGCAGCCCTGGACTAGATGAATTCAGTGTCGGAATGGGACATTTTCTGTTGGTTTGAACAACTCCTGCTCGCAGCTTCAGTAAGAGCACTGCCTATGTTTTCCTCCTTTGATCCTGTAACATGTTTTCAAGAGCAGAGAGAGACTCTGCGACCTTATTTATATTCTGCAGGCATCGCTTGCACCCTTCCTCAGATTTTTATGATTTCATACAATTTCTACATGCATTTTTAAATATCACAAGCAGGAGAATAAATGGACACTAATGTAATCAGAGTTTTATTGTCCTGTTAATGTCAACAAATACCCTATTGCACTAAAATATTGCTGTGCCGTATCTAACGAGCCGAGCCTCAGCCAAGGGTGTCCATCTGTGACATGCATGCATATGTGTCTATTAAGAGTGAATCTCGCACTCCTGGGGGAATCGGCCTCCTATGCTGTTTCCTTACGAGTGGGTGGGAGGAGGATGTAAGAATAAAATAAAGCAACCTGGGTGTTGTTTATCCGTAGGTTTTCTTCAAAGCTGTGGAAGGTGTGCTTTCTCTCCCCGGCTGGATTGATGCCTCGCAGGTAATGCCTGAGGGGTGCACCTTGGTCACGCCTCACCTGCACTGCACTTTTTCCCCTTCCTCACCAAGAAAAGTCATCTCAGGAGGAGGGACCTTTTATTTAAAATAAAAATAAAATAAAATAAGACATGGTGGAAAGAGAAGGATGCAATCTGCAGCCGCTCGCTTCCAAGCTGCCTCTCGTAAGCTGTCTCCCCTCTGAAACATGGACTTCTAAACATGTGTTTGGTCTCGCAATTGATGACTGTAACATTTTCTCTCTGCCTGCCGTGTGTGTGTGTGTGTGTGTGTGTGTGTGTGTGTGTGTGTGTGAGAGAGAGAGAGAGAGAGAGAGAGAGAGAGAGAGAGAGAGAGAGAGAGAGAATGGGAGGGAGGGAGTGATATCAGCCCTTTGAATGTAAGGCTGACAATTCCTATCTCAATTGGATGGGAATTATCTAAAAGATGGGAGGCCCTGTGACCTGGACTTCAGTTGAAGCCAGTCTGTTTCCAGTTTGGAACCTTCATGGGTGGCTCATCGTGCTTTCAAGAAAAGCTGCTAACCAGGGAGGTCTGTACAGTAACCTTTTCTGCTGATGAGGTCGTACAGACCTGGAATTTATGCAAAACACATTTATCATAATTGGGTAACGTGCTAATGAATACAGCAGAGTTCAAAATGCGAGTCTGTCTCTTGCACAATTACAATTATGGGGGAAGTAGGTGGAAGGGAAGAGGGGATACTGGTGGGGAAGCAGTTGCTTCCACTTTTAATCTTTCAATTAGGAGCAAGTGCGAATGAGGGAAAAACTTTAGAGGTGTGCCTGGGGGGAAGACAGCTCCTTCTGCCCCTTCACGAGAAATCATGGGGCAGGAGGAGAAGGGGAGAGGTGTGCAGGAGCCTGTGATGGGGCAAAACCAGCTGGACCAGCACCCCATTCCCCTCCACACAAAAGCAAATCAGTGCAGCCCCTCTCTTGAGCTGACTTTTAAGCTCCGTTGAAGTCAGTGGGATGCGCTTGCTAATGGCTGCTGACGTGACTCACTTCTGAGTAGACACGCATTTCAGCTGGTTCCTTCTTGCACTAAAGGATAATTGGAACACTTGAGAAGGCACAACAAACTTTTTTCAAAGGGGAGGGGAGAGGGAAGCAGCCCTGCTTTTGCAAATCAGAGAGAGAGAGAGAGAGAGAGAGAGAGAGAGAGAGAGAGAGAGAGAGAGAGAAACATCAGACAGATCTGCTGTTGTTGCTTCCACTTCATGAAAGCCCTGAGAGGACATGTTGATTCCACCACCAGCCCCCTGAAACCAGTCCCCTTGGCCTCAGAGCAGCCCTGCAAATTTGGCACTCACCACGTACACCAAGGAAAACTGACAACTTTTAAGGAAGATCTCGTCTAATGGGTCCGAAGAGATCCAGGATATAAGGACAGAAACAGTGCAAGGAGGATGGGTTGGGGTGAGTGTGGCGGGACAGGCCGGTGAGCCAGCGGCCTTGTCGCAAGGCCCTGTTGGCTGCCTGTCCACCTTTGCCCGACCTCTTCCATCCCGCCACCAGCTCCGGCTCTCATTTCCCAAGCTTGCCTCCTGCGTTAGACAGAGCACTCCCCCTGCAACTCCCGTGACTTTTCTGTTGGCTTCCAGACGGCGCCCCTGGCTCGAGGCTTGATGGAGACGATCGACAACGTGATGTTCCACGTGGCTCACAATCTGGGAGGGAGCCCGTCTACCGTAACTGTTGAAGGCACGTCACCTGTGGCAGGTGAGGTCTATCCGGCACTCATGCCAGCACCTGACTCAGAAACCGGGGTCTGCTTAGGCACAAGATGACACCTCCACATCTGCAGTGTTTCACTTGCTGGCAAGCAGCAGGACGTTTCCCTTTCTTTCCTAGGAACTGGGGGCAGGGGAAGGCTGTATCCACAACAGCAGAGTTTATACAATTAATGCAGGAAAGGAAGCAGAGTCCATCGTTTCCATTGGACTCCCTTGTACGCCAGGTCTCTCCAGATGGACTGCTGTCTTGCTCAGTGCTTGCAGAAGGTCCCCTGATGGCCTGATTTTTAACAGCATCTACTGTGCACGAGTTATTCCAGGTCCCTTCGCATTATGCTTAAAATAGATGAAAATTAATGTACGTAAAACAGCTCTGCCAAGGTGCAATGCTGCACCACGGGGCAGATGGACAATGAAGTCTGCACGTATTATTGTCCTGTATCCATTCATTTCACTAGTTCGACTCCTAAATTTTGAACACTTCAAAGCCACTTTATACGCAGGGCTGCCTATCCCTGGATCACCCTATCCTTGTACCAGGATATGCATCCTATGCTCCGGTCCACCAGCAAGAATGGTTTGGCTGGCAGGTACCGGGGTTTCTTCAGGGATGGCCCCACTCCTTTGGGACTCTCTCCCCACGATGGCCTTGACACTGCTGTCTTTTAAAAAGTCCTGGAAATGCATTAATTCCAGCCTGCACTTGATATTTTATATTCTGTAAGCCGTCGAATTAAATATTTGAGGATCCTTATTTGCTCCTCCTTTTCATAGTATTGTCAGCTGCTCCATAAGCACAGAGCCCCCCAACAGGCAGGTGAAAAACCTGTTAATTAAATGAATACTCAGCATGTAACTGATCCCATGTCCTCTTCCTCTCCTTCCTGGGCTTCTGCGCTATGCCGGCACAATCGTACAGACTACTCTTTGGCCAAGATTCCTCCGCAGCACCTGAACGTGCCTCACTACCGCTTCCCCTTACGAGGGCAGAGCTACATCTCCATCCCCGCTGAAGCTTTCCACTACAAAGGTAAGGGCTTGACGGACAAGCACCGCGGATGCAGGGCCGCTCACTGGCCCTCCCGGTTGGCTTCCCACCGAACCCACGCTTTGTTTTCTCTGGCCGGCAGTGGCTTCTCCGCTCTCAGGCAGGGAGGCCTTCTAGCCTTGCTGCTTGAGAAAACTGAAGCTGAAGCTCTTTTTTGCAGCTGCCATGCGATAGAGAGGCTCGGGTGGAGTGAAGAGGCTTTCTGTCCTCAGGAGGAGGAGGAAGGCCTGAAAAACTCACGCGTGGTAGAACGTGTGTCTCAGGCCTCCTTTAGATTAGGAAAGGGGCGCAATTCAATGGGGGAGCCTGTGTTTGGCAGGCAGGAGGTCCCAGGTTCAGTCCAGGAAGGGGATAGAAGGACTCCTGTCTCAGGACCTGGAGAACTGCTGCTGGTCAGCATAGAGCAAGGGTGCACAATGTTTGGCCCATGGGCCACATGAGGCCCCTGCGGCTGTTTTCACAACCCTTGCCATGTTGTTGCTGCAGGTCTGCCCCTGTGGCGATTCTGCTGCCATTGTGATTCTACAATGTTTCCAGTTTGGAGGGCCGTGGACACTCCTCCCTTGGTGCCGTGTTTCCAGCCGGAAGCACTGGGATTTCAGCCATTTCAGTAGCATAACAACCTCTGGCAGCTGCAAGGCATGGCCTTCAGAAGTCCCAGGAGGGACCTCAGCCCTATGACATGGTCTTACTGAACATAAGGAAGCTTCCTATGCTTCCGTGTAAAGGCTGGGTAGAAGGAAGCCGCTCTGATTAGAATGGTCCAGGAAAAGACTTACCCCCTCCGTATGAACATCACACTAAAGTCCTGCAGGGCTGGGTCCTGGTTCATCCATGGTTCAAGCCCATTAAATGTTTCTTAAAAGTGTGGCGTTCAGTGGTGTTTATTCCCTTCTAAGGGTGCAACTTTCTAAGACAGCCCTACAAATTTTCACTTTGGAGGTAGCCCCTGGCTTTATTTCATGGGCTTCCTAGGTAAGAATGCGGTGAGATGACGGCCTGAATCAAGGATCTTTCTACTGGCTGAGTTGGAGGTGAGAGTTGCCGGCAGGAATGCTGAGCTGCAAAGAGGAATTTAGGAGGAAGGCTGGAACATGGAGCCAGGACGGGGTTAGTTGTTGAGCCAAAGGCACTAAAGAACACATTAGGGCAGTCTGACACTCCTCGGTTCCTGCCCAATTCAAAGGATTTCCACATGTTGATTGTAAAGCAAGAGGAGCACCAAAGTGCGTAATTACAGAACGTGGAGAAGTGTGGACTTTCTTTTCCAGAAAGAAACAGTATAGAAACCAGAATGAAATGGAGATCAGATCCAAACCCCATTAAGTAAACAAAATACCAAATGTCATCCAAAAATCCAGCAATGGATCAGGGATCAAGTATCGTGTGGCTTGCACAGAGGTCAAAACAATTCCAACATATTATCCACTATCATTACACTTGGCTCAATACTGCCGATCTTACATTTCCATGCCTGTTACAAGGACTCTGAGCTCTGGGATCCTTAGGTCCCCGGAGGTGCGTGTCTTGCCTTTCAACCCCAAGCCATCCTGAGCCGATTTTACAACAGATGAGTTAATAACCCGGAAGTTTAGCCTTGTTACATTATCACAGTGGGAAGACCCCCACACTGACTTCCAATTGCTTGTGGATGTTCCTCATTTCACGGGGTGGGGGAGAGTTAGGAGAAACCCCATTAGAGCAGAAGTGGAAGAAGAGGGGAAGGCTGTCAGCTGACCGTGTGCTTCCAAATGGCCACTTTGCTATTTTGCACTCTTTCCGAGAGCTTCAGCACTAACGCTTGTTCTTTCTTCCCAACTCCCCACCAGTCTGGATTACCATTGTGGGAGTACTCTATCATACCATGCACCAGTTCTTCCGCAACATCAAGCCTGTGGATACCAAGTAAGTTCCTTCAAAGAACACAACCATGTGACTTCGTATGGTGCCCATAGCTTTGATAACGCCTTGTGGGTGTGTGGAAGAACCTTCACAGGTGGCGCTGTGGGATGGCTGGGGGTCTCTGCAAGTTTATGGATGGGGTTGGGTCAGGTCTTGTGTCTTCCAAATCTCAGTTCTCTAATGGGAAGGTTGCCTAGAACAAGAAGCGCATCCTTGTGTCCACACCCTCCTTGCGTCTCCCACACATTCACATAAATGTCATGCACTCTCCCCAGCTTTTATCTCTCTCCCTGCTCCCCTCCACCCTTTCTAATGGGTTTGTACTTCTGCAAGCCATTGGATTTCCCCCAGCCTGCCAACAATCCCGCTTCTAACAAAATGTGATGCTGTTGGGCTATGAAGGATCGGCGGTCACTCCAGCACATTGGAGGTAGAGGGTACGCGATACGTAATGGACAATCCCTCTTCTGGTTAGTGTGTGGGTGTTCCAAGTGCTTGCTCACATACATTACCTGAAGTATATTTTCCAGTATCCTGGAAGGTAGGCGGTGTTACTTTTCCTCCTTAAAATGGCATATTCTTTCACAGATCTCTACATCATGTCTCCCTTGGCTCACAGTCATACCTTCTCAAGGTGGCCTTCCATAAAAACAAAAAACAAGACTTTTGTATCTTCTCGCACAGTAGCAATACTATCGCTGTGCTACTTTTATCTCTTTATGATATTTTATTGGTGTTCTTGTAAACCATCCCGAGACGTCAGTGATGGGATGGCGTACAAAAGTTTTAAATAAATAAAAGCAAATAAATAGATATTGCCCCACCTTCTGAGGTGGAGATAATGACCGTGAAGGGTTCTGTGTGTATGTGAAATGACAACTAGCTGGGATTCAAAGATCGCTCAGGTGCTACTGCAACATGCTGCTCAAATATACCCTGGAAAAGCATTTCCAAGTGGAAAGAGTTTCAAAACCAGGTTTGTTTTGGCTTGCTAAAACCGCTGCATTGAAAGAAAGTGACAGTACAGCCTAACACTGGCTTAGTAGCTCTTTGGATCTATTTAAAGGCTGAGCATTATTTTTATGACTAACCTCTCTCTGCTCGGCTTTATTTTTTTAATTCTGCTCTTGTAAAGGTCTTATCTTGTTTGCGCTGAAATAGGGTGATGGGCTAAACTAACACAGCAGTGATGCTTCCTCCTCCACCTTTCACATACACTGCTGGCTAATTTTTTACACCGGCAAAGCGGAAAACAGCTTCAGGGTCCGTTTGCTTTCTGCATTGCGCCAATGCAGATTAAAGAGAAAGGGAACTTGCAGCAATAAACCATTTTGAGACTGCTCTGCCCCACCCAGCCCAGCCTGCCTGAGGAACTTCCCAAGTCTATTTATGGCAATCGTATATTCTCTTTAGCCTGTCCAAATATATTTACTCAGGTATTCTCTGCAGGGGGAAATGAACTAGGGGAGAGGCTGGTTTTCACAGCTTCCCTCTCCTAATCAGACTGAACTTTGCAAGGTTTCTCAACTTCTCTTTTTAAACTAAGATGATGGGAGGACATCTGGAGAGTAGGGCTGCCTCTTAAACCTCCCTGAAAAAGAGGACAAAAGGGGGCATCCATTTGTGAGAAATGTGCATTCACTAATTCACATCTGGAATGCATTGTTCCGAAATAGAAAGGTAATATATCCCACCAATGAGGGGAACGGGATGCTGTGTTTGCCGATCCATTCAGTCGGCTGTTAAGCAGCACCTTCTGATCGGCAGGCTGAAGCCACAAGCTCTGGGGGAAACGCAGCTATTAGATTCTCCCAGTCCAGAAAACCCTTGCCAGGACTGGCTAGGAATATAGATGGACTCCATCAGAAGGGAGGTTTTGACCGACAAAGAGGGCCTTGGGTTTTGGGGCCAAGAGGAAGCCAGCTAAAGCGGCCAAGGCCGTTCAGGAGCCAAGACGGAGGCTCTAGCCGACAGGACTAGACAGTGGGTGGGTGGGTGATCAATGGAGTGGTAGGAACACTGGGTCAGAATCCCACGAAGAGGATTCCACACCCTTCCTCTTGGACATGCCAGCTCCTGTGTGAGGGATTACATGAGGAGATCACCTTGGGGACAGGCAATATTTCTTTCCATGATACCATGTTACAAGAAGCCATAATTTATGGATCACTCTCTAGTTAAGCTGTCTTATCTCAATAATTTGTGATGACAAATGTGGTCTGAATATTTTACTTCCCTCTGACATAGGAAAAAGAGGTGGGGAGGAAAGTACTGTTTAATATGGGTTCATTCATACAAGCCGCCTCCACCTGAGTTTCCCGACCCCCTTTTGCTGTGATCCATGTGGCCATTCAAGTACGAGCATTCTCAGGACCCCTGAAGCAGGCTTCTTAGGTTGTCCATGTGGTGTAGTGCTTAGATGAAACATAGAAAACAGAGCGAGTCAGAAGGGGCCTCCCGGGCCATCTAGTCTGACCTCTGGCACCAGCCGGCTCCACTCACGACATGCCCACCATGTGGATGTCCAGCCTATCCTTGAACACCCGCATCGATGGGGCCTCAACCACCTCTCATGGAAGCCCATTCCACACCCTCGGGGTCCTGACTGTCAGGAAGTGCTTCCTGGATGGATGGAATGGGACTTGAGAGACCCGGGTGCTAGTCTTCACTTGACCATGAAGCTCACTTGTTGACTTTGGGCTAGTCACTGACTGAGTTTAGACAACCCAAATATCCACTCTCAAGGGTTGTTGCTGCACCACGTGCTGTTCCTGTAATGTGGGTTATCTGAACCTAGCTATGTGAAAGAGACATGGCTGGTTAACCATGAAAAACTGTGGTTTGTTGCTGGACTGTGAACGACGAGTTGGTCCCCATGGTTTGTTATCTTGGTTGGGTTCAGACAACATGATTACCCACTCTCAAGGAGTGAGAATGAGGTGATTATTGGTTGTGGTGGAACTGTGGGTCGTTCTTGAAACATGGGTTAATTGTGTTGACTGAACCCAGCCAAGATTACAACCCATGGTGAGCAATCCAAAGTTCACAGCCCAATGACAAACTGTAGGTTGTCTTCCTGGGTTACTAAGCCATAGCTTGTTTGCACAACTGGGTCCAGACATTGCAATGACCTAGGAAGTTTCAGGTTTAATGTATAAAGCTTTACACAGCTTGGGACCACAGTACTTAATGGAGTGCCTCTCCCAACCATAATCTACCCAGACATTGCACTCAACATCCAGGGCCTTCCTCTGAGGTCCAACTCCGAGGGAGGTTTGGAGGGTGACAACAAAGGGGAGGGCTTTATCTGGGGGTGTTCCCCCTGCGGAATGATCTCCCCACTGTGGCCTGCCTGGCATCAGCCTTGCATCTTTCCTGTGTCAGGTTAAGGCAACCCATTAGGTCAAGATGTACTTGGATATCCAGGGGCTTGAGGGAATTATCCGTCCCAAGTGATCTGTCTTCCAGGATAACTCTTCCCTGATTTCAGCTGGCTTTAATTTGCTTGTTTTGTTTTGTTTTGTTTTGATTTTTTGTTTTTTTGCATTCTTACTGTATTTCATTGCACTGTTTCTATGCACTGTTGTAAACTGCCCCAATAGCTTCAGCCATTTCTATTTCGAAATATCTACATTGTCTCAACTTGGTCATAATCTGCTTGTCTGGGGTACTTCCACTGCTCTGCTGGTGTCGATTGCGAACAAACACCCTTGTTGCTGATTCTGTCTGATTTGATTTTGGGGTGTTTTGGACAGTGGTGAGAAATGTAGCAGTAAGTCTTGCATACAAAGTTGTGCTGCTCCGAGTGCATGAGGGGAAACATTAGATCAGTTTGGATATACAGCATGTGATACAAATTTGGAAATTCGTGCACAAAGCTGGGAAGGGCAGGGATGAAATTGTCAAGCCCAAGCTGTGATGAAAGCATCACGCATCCGCTTTATTGTCAGGCTAAAACTGACAAGTTGTTTGAGCCTCCTTGTACGTCTCACCTGATTCTCTTAGCCCTGCTGGAGCTTGTTTTATTTCTGCACATCACAATGTAAAGAAGAGTGTCCATCACACCAGGGGAGAGCCTGAGAGATTCCTGCTGCAACAAGGAATGTGGGCCTTCACCAGAGAGATGCAACCGAGAATCTCTGCCCTGAAGAGAGTTAGCTCTGATTCTTTTCAGTCTTATGGCTTCCTGCTGGTTGTCTGGAGGACCATAGGATTATTCAGCACTTCAGCTCCAAGATCCTGCAGCTTTGGTGCTGAGACTCTGGGAGGTGGTCTCCCACCCTCTTTGCAGAGGGCATGGAAGCAACCGTGCTGGTTGTCTTTCCAAGGATGCAGTTGAGCCCGGAGAGATGGAAAAGGGGCATGTTAGGCAGTGAGAAGGGGAGGAAGCTGGGATCAATGACTCCCATCAGCACCCTAGCCTCCTTCCCTCCTCCTCCATCCTTAAGCTTCATCAAGATGGCTGCTAATGGCCATGCACATCATGGAGATGGAGATCAGCACTGCTGTGCCTCTCTCTATGTATTCCACGAATGTAGACCTCTGATTTTGGAGACTAGCATGCATTCACAGTGGAGGGCATTGTGTTGTGCCCTGAGCTGCTTAAACTTTGCAAGGTTCAATAATCAAGGCTTCACTGAAGGCCAGTGTGACTTGTATACTTAAGCATAGCCCATATGTAAGAGCATAGCTCTTACATTCTGGATGGCCCTTCTGTCTTTGGATGCACCAGGAGTATGAGATCAGCCTTTTCTTACCCTTCATAAATCACGCTCCAGTTCTCCTACGAATGCTCACAACTTTTAAATGTGCATGCTTTCCCTCTTTGCGTTTCTATACTACTTTTTCAGATCATGCCTCTCATTCATGCATTCCTCATGTACCTCGCCCGGTGAGGACGTGGCGAGCTCCATCTTTGGAAGCCCTTATCTCAGAGCTTTGAGGTGGCAGTCCTGTGCAGAGATGTCTGAGGCAATGCATGTAGGATTGTGGTGGGGATTTTGGAATTACGTTTTCCCATCTGTGCCGAATAGATCTGGTTTTATCTACTGGATTGCTAGTTGGCTTTCAATATATTTGGCATGTGTTACTGGTTTAGATCAGGAGCATTGTCCCTCTTTGGCCCAAGGACTGAATTCCCAAGGACTGGGAGAGGATTTTCTTGTCTAATTCCAGGACTGAAACTCTTGGGGTCCACTCGCTAGTGGTGGGTGGAGCCAAAGTCCCCAAAGGGTTTCAACACCAGGTGCAGTGACTGATGGGATGGGTGCCCATTGAAAACCCTGGTAATGCAGAAATCCCACGGTCATCTCTTGGGTAGGTCATGGTAAAAACGGTAGATGCTGGGAACCATGCGGGATTGCTTATCGCGTTGTGGGAACTCAGCCACTGACTCAGACGCTGCACTTGCACCGCAGGGATGGACAGTCTGCATGCATGGAGGGTTTCCAGGGTGGCAGCAGAAGGGCTCTAATGTTGGAGCCAGAAATGCCCTTACTCTGGGGGTCCAAAGGCATGCCGCTCGCTTTGCAGCGACAGACAAATCAGCCGGACGCCCCTTGTAGCCATGAGTGTGTGTATGTACGCATTTGTTTGCGGGTGGGTTTCTACAATGGTGTCATTCCAGCTGCTTCAGGCCATCTCTTGGCTCCCGCCCTGCAGAAGGGTGTGACATTCCAAAGATTGCAGAGAGACGCCTTTCCATTAAGAACCGTTTAGCCGTTGTTTCTAGCATTAAGCGGCAGGTAAAAGAAAAAGCGAATAACGCTTTCGCAATACGCTGGGTAGCCAAGAGTGAAGTCCTAGCCCTGTGCATGGTGCTTTTCTCCCAAAACTGCAGCTCTGAGAGAAAAAACGGGCTCCTTTAAGCCCAGCAAAAAAGAGAAAGGAAAGCAACACTATTATTTAAACCTTGCTTGTCAAAATTCTCTCATGCTAGGAAAATATCTTTGCTGGCAGGCTTTCGGCAGAGAAAGCGAGCCAGCTTGGCTCCCCTTTGCATCCTGGTTTGAATTATGCTATCTTTGAGAAGCAAACACTTTTTGGACAAGACGGGCCTCTTTCATAACAGGACTATAAATAATGTGCCAAAATAATGATTTGAAGAATATCTGTAACTGAGCCTTCCTTGTGGGAAGTTTTCCCTTTGTAACCTTCATTTTGAGGAGATTTATCTCCTGGCATTTAAGGTGTGCACCCGTCTCGTAATGTAATTTGTCTGTAATGACACAAATTCCTTGTTTAAAGAAGACACTTGATGAAGGACCTGGTGATTATTGTGTGTTTTGCTTTGTTTTAATCCTGCCCTTGCCTGGCCTCACATCTCCATCCCTGCAACTGTACTTTTCCAATAATGCTTTGAGGGAGCTCAGGCACAGGGTGGCTAGCTTAGGGCCACCCGGGGAAACCATGGCTCGGTGGGCTTTGAGCTCAGGTCTCCTTGGAGCTCATCCAAAGTCCTAACCACGGCACCACACTGGACCTTCAACATGGGCAACTCTAGAAGGGCAGCAAAGAAGGCGAGGAAGAGCCTCGTCTGGTGTGATGGTTAGAGCATCAGACAGGGGCTTGGAAATCCCGGGTGCTAGGCTCCGCTCAGCCATGGAACTCTCTGAGAGGTCGACCCTTGACCAGACCCACCTCACTGGGTTGTGGTTAGGATGAAATAGAGAAGAGGAACATGTGTGCTGCCCTAGTCTCCTTAGAAGAAAGGCAGGATATAAAGGAAATAAATCACAGCCCCTATTTCTAGTTCTCATATTCCTCCTTCCATGTGGGCATCCCACTTCTCTCGGCCTAAGTGGAGGCTGCTGAGGGAGCCCTGCTGGAAGCCCCCTGCAAATTCGTGACCTGGTGCTAGCATGCAGCCAATGGAGTGCCATTCACACAAGACGCAGAGCAAGGGCAGCTGCCTGGCAGGCCGCGGGGACCCGTTTCTTCTGGGAAACTAAGTGTGTAGTCCTCATGCATCCTGTTTCCCAGGAAGAGCATTGCAGATGGCAGCGCGTTTAAGCGGCGGCAGCAAGGAGCACTGGCCTTGGCGGGTTGCATGTTCCCCACTTTTGAATGAGAGATGAAGGGGTTGGAATGTGAATGGGGCAAGTTCAGGTGATTTGCAAACTCAAAGGAGAACCCCATACACACCAAGCTGAGTCAAATCCTTCTCATTCTCCACCGATAAATCAAGTTCTACCTGGATAACCTCATCCTGGCTCATGTTCCTTGAGGCTCGGTCTGGGTAACCATGCCCCTGATGCTCAAAAGCACCGTGCAAGCATCGTGCTGCAAGGGACTGTCGAATTCCGCTGGCCCCAGTCTCCTATCCCAGGATGCTCCCCTTCGCCACCTCTCCCAGGTTGATGCCCAAAGCTTGGAGAGGTGGACAGCACCGTCCTTGGCATGCTGTCTGCAAGCTGGGGATCAGAGAAGGGTTCTGAGCTCTGACGGTGGAGCTGTCTCCAGCCTTGGACCTGGGAATCTGAATTTGCTCATGGCCCTCCCAGGTGCTGACTGGGACACAGGAGCAATTCCTGGGTCATGCCAGACTGTGATGGAATCCTGGGGGAATGGGACAGGATGTTGACCGCTTCCCTCCCTCCCCGGGACTCCTCAAATGCAACTTCAGGACTGCAGCTGGTGGACCGCATTGTCCAAGACAAATAAACATCAAGGCGCCCTGATTTCAGGTGCTCATTACGGCTTTGATCCCACTGGATTAGTTCACTGGGTATTACGTTTTAGAAACAAACATCCTACGAGGCCAAGCAAATCTCATTAAAGCCACCAGGATTTAAGCTGCCTATCTGTGTGCAGCCCATGTCTGACTCTTGGATATTTTCCAGAGGAGCTGTAAAATGTTTTGTTTGGCATGTTTGGGGTTGTCTAGTCATTGCCTTGGGATTTTTTTAAGGTAGCACTACCAGACTATTCCAACTAGGTTGGAATAAGAATGGCGTAAAGATGCTCACTGGCTTCTAAGATGCTCGCTGTTTGCTTTTCAGGATCCCCGAAACCGTGGCTTGCAAAGAATGCATAATTTCTGCAGCCAGCTATGTTATCTCCTTGAAAGTGGAACCACCTCCAACGTTATCCCTTAATTTGTCAGGTTCTCCTCTCATCACCATCCATTTGAGACACAAACTGGTAAGTGGTGGCGAACCCTTCCATTCGCTTCTTTGCTGTGCAGAACTCTTTGGCTGCGAGGCAGAAAGGCGTGTAATCAAGTTGAATCTGACAATTCTGCATTACCAATACAGTGTGGAGAAAAGTAGAATTCTGGGACACTTGCTATGTCTGTGGGACTCCTCAGCTGCTGCAGCTTTTCCTTCCAGCTTTCTAGGAATGAGCCATAGTGTTGGTCTTCACCCCATTGAAAGGTTTGCTACCCTGGATAGCTCCTATAAAGATCAAAAGGTGAGCTGCGATGGATGCAGAGCCCCATGAACCTTGAAGTCACTTCCCTGGTTTAGGGAGGGCAAAGATTGTCCAGTCTCCTGTGCTTGGACCACGGGTGACTCTGTTTCAATTCATGATTGTGCATTTATGGTGTAGTGCCAGTGTGGTGTCGTGGTTAAGCGTGTGGGACTGGGACTCAGACGACCTGGGTTCCAGTCCCCGCTCAGCCATGGAGCCCACTGGGTGACTCTGGGCCAGTCACAGACTCTCAGCCCCACCTACCTCACAGGGTTGTTGTTGAGGGGATAAGATGGAGGAGGAGAATGATGTAAGCTGCCTTGAGCCCTTCATAGGAAAAAAGTCAGGCTATAAATTGGAAAATAAATAAATAAATAAATAAATAAATAAATTTATGGGCAGTTTTATCCTGTCCGTCCGCTGTAATTGCAGCTGTCGGGATTGCTATTCAGCACCAGCATTCACCGTTCTGCTGCCGTGCTGTATGAGATTTCACCAGGCATTGCCAGCATACTACAGGGCCTTGTCCACAGCCTTGAGGACTAGACACTTGTTTTTATTAAAAAGGAAGAACATCCTCCAGCTACTGAATTAAGAATTGGATACTGATTTGGGTGGCAGTATCATGGCGTTCTGAAAAGCACATGGCCCTCGGCTGTGACAGATGGCAATTTCTGTGCCTGTTTAGCCTGGCTATGATTTTGGAAGTTCCTCTTCACTGACTGCAGTTTGACACTGATTGTTGAACAGCTACGCAGCCAGGGAGGGTGGCGATTGCAGAGCAGGGCATTGGCAAGCAGGACCCCAGGCACGGAACCCTCTCCCTATTGTTTCCCGGCCCCCAAAGGCCAAAAACAACCAATGAATAATCACAGCTCAGAATGAGTAGCAGTTGGATAAAACGCTTCATGGTTCTGCTGGAAATCTGGGCAGTGGTGGTGACCTTATTCCTGGTCTCCATACATTTGCAGCTACATATGAATACTTTAGCTTTTGCTGAATTACTGTTGCTTTTCTTTCCCCCTCCACTTCCCTTCCCTTCCCTTCCCCTCCTCCCCAAATAAAATCCCCCTTCTTGTTCCTTGTGCATTGCTGTTTTCAATGGATTTTGTGCTCATTAAGTGTCTTGTGGGCCTTCGAAGGAAAGGGAGCGATGCTGCATGGCATGTTGGGGAAACAAGGGCGTGAAACTAAGTCCTGGAAAAAAGTTTCTTTTTTTGGCTTGTAAAGGATATTGTGTGTGTGATGAGATCAGGGCTTTTCAGGAGAACTGAAAGTAGTTTGAAAGATGCTTGGCTTTCCGTGGTGTGCACCTTTCATCTCGCAGTCACCGCAAAATACCAAAGAGAGATTTTGCAGGGCACACCCTCCCCTCCAACAAAACAGGGCAGAAATGTCCGGTGCGCCACACAAACAGGTGTGAACCACAAACTGAACCAACTGTGACCCTCTGAATTCCCTTCCCAGCCAAAGAGGAAAGACACCCCAAAAGAGGTCAAAAGAGGACAGAAAATTGTATAGAAAACGGGCGTGTGCTGATTTATATATATTTATATAGATAAATGATGGTATGCTCTCAGTAGATTTCACTACATCTCATCTTCACGTGGAAAACTGGCCGCAATACCCATATACCTGCCCAGCCAGGTGCTAATTGCTCACGGACAATATTTTTTAAGTTCTTCATCTTTAATCTGGAGCTGGGCAACACAGCCTCCAAACAGAGGACTGTCCTTCTCTAGGGCTTCAAACAGAGAACTCTGTACAAGTGGACACCCGGATACCACCCTCCCAGCAGCCTAAGTCAGAAGGTTGTGGAACTGCTTGCTCAGCTTTTGCTTTGAAAACATGGCCTGCCTTCCTGGCGTTCCTGCATGAGCTGAGATCAGTCCAGGGGCCTCGGTGGGTTCTGTCCTTGGCATCCGGAGCGCTTTCTGCAGCAAGGATTCGGTGCACGGTGTTGGGAGGGCAGGCCTGGAAGGAAACCGAGAGTCTGGCTTGGAAGGGGTCGTGGCATGCAATGTTCTTAGGGAAGCTGTGCGTTGCGTGAGGCATGGTTACATGTGTCATTAGCCCAACATCAGCCTTGATTTCTCAGCACTCTGGAAACTGTAAAAATAATAAGACAGACAGAGTCCTCTGCTTGACCTCGTTTCTGTCTATTCTAAGTATAGGTTATTTCTGCTGAACAAGCTTTGCCGCCTCCCAGTTTCTTTTGTGAAAGGCCATTTCAGAAGTGGCGCTTGAAATCAATTAGGGTGTGTGTGTGTGTGTGGGGTGGCGGAACCGCCCGTTGTTGTTGGACTCCAGCTCCCATTCATCCCGTCAACATGGCCAAAGCTCAGTGCGGTTGGAAGTTGTAGCAGGAATATTTGGAGGGCTACCAACCGCCTGCCCCTGGATTGGGAGCCGAGCCTCAGTTCAGTGGTAGAGCCCATATTTTGCTCGGAAAAGGTCCCGGGTTGAAACCCCGGCATCTCCAGTTGAAAATATCATGCAGTGGATTATGGGAGAGGATTTTCTTGTCTAACCCAGTTCTGGTATTTCTGTAGTCCAGTTCCATAGCAGCCCAGTCCTCTGTGCCAGCATCTTGCTGGAGGCTGGTAGTTTTGGCTGCATTCCTTGTTTTTTGTTTTTTCATGTTTATTTTGAAGCCATTCAGGCAGGAGATGGTCTTTGAGATGCCGTCCTCCTGCCCTTCTCTCACACAAAAAATAATAATCATAAAGCATTGCTTTTAAGAAACATGCAAGAAACATCAAGAATCTGCAATGAAATAAAATATCTCAAGCTCAAGGGCTATTAAATCCTCTGAACAAAATATTTGCCTTTGTAGCAACAGAGATATTCACATGCGTATGTTTTCCTGGAGGACAGTTTCTCTCCCTGGCTAGCATGAATGTTTTTCCAATCATGCGCAGGACGGGACGCGGATCTATTATTGTCCCATCGTGTTCTAGCAAGAGGGGTGAATTTACATACATGACTGCTGCTTATCATATTTCCTTTCCTGCCAAGGTGTGTTCTTGCACCCACCAATAGATTAGCAACAGGTGTCTTTAAGATGCCCAGGACCAGCAAAAGAGAACGGCAAATGATTCAACAATGTTACCCGTAGGGGACGTAATGTGTACGGGGAAGACCATCATTTTACACTCTCCAGGACCCTGGTGATGGGAATTCTCTGCAACCGTTGTGTCTTTGGTGTCAGCAGCTGCTGGGGCTCTAACGAGAATTTAGGATTGTCTTCTCCCATGCAAGCCTGCTCTGGCTTCCCTATTTTAAAGTTTGGGGCACATTTAGGGGAGAGGCGAGACGGGGCCTTTTTGGTGGTAGCTCCAGGCTCGGGAGCAGCCCACCAAGTGGGTGTGAGGGATTCACCTGTTCCCTGTTGTCTTTCTGAGGGTTAGGCAAAGGCTTTTTATCTGGGGAAGCTGTACGGCTTGTCTTTTGCCGAGGCATGTCTGAATTGGCTGCGTGCTGTTGCTTTTTATTGCTGGGCTTTTATGTCATGTCTATATTAATATTCAGTTTTAGATTTAGCTGGGTTGGTTTTAGCTGCATTAAGCACCGCTTTATTTTGGGCAGCAGTTCAGGACATAAATTTAACCAACAATAACGCCAGCCAGCCAGCCAGCCAGCCAGCCTTTGGTTCTCTGTAGCAACGTGTGAGAAACCTGCTTTGTGAGTGGGAGTCCCTTGGATTGTCTCAGCTTGGGCTCTCTGCATGCGAGCCTGCTTCCTCTCCCTCTGAGCCCAGCACATGCTGAGCATTGCCTGTGCATGTACAGCAGGGAACATTTGACAGGAAGGCCACTTTGTGCCCACACGGCCTGCGTGTGGAGTTCTGTTTCTGCCCACGCGACGTGTGCGCTTTTGTGCATTATAAGGACTTCATCCCCGTACGCCGCATGTGGCGGGGGGAATGCCCACGTGCACCTAGTTCTGGAGCAGGCAGTTGTACTGGCTGGAGCAGGCAGAGGGCTCGCCTAGTGGGAGAATCGCTAGCTACGCTCGTGGGTCCGCTCTCAGCTCGGCTCACTTGCTAGGCTTGGTCCTTGCGCCACGGATCCTCTGGGTGGCCACCCTGCCTGGCGTGCCGCGGGGCTGTGGTGCGAACTGTCACCCAGGGCCGGTCTAACACAGTGCAGGTGGAAGGATTTAAGATGGAGGAGGAGGAGCATGTAAGCTGCCTGGAGCCCTTTGTAGGAAAAAGGCAGGATATAAATGAATGAATGAATGAATGAATGAATGAATGAATGAATGAATGAATGAATAAATAAGGATTTGCCCGAGGATGGGGGTGCTGTGCAGCTGCAAACAGTGAAGGCAGTTGTGGGTAGGTGTTAGTGAGGAATCTGATAGGCAGCTGAAAGTCCAATATCTATCTATCTATCTATCTATCTATCTATCTATCTATCTATCTATCTATCTAGAGAGGTACGTGGAATACACACGCACACACACGTGATATATATATGGATGGTACATGGAATATAGATCTATTAACTAAAGGATCCCAGGTGACAAGAGCAACTGCTGCCTGGGATCTGGAAAGTCACCACCTGTCAGAATAATACTGGGCCAGCTGGAGAGAGAGAGAGAGAGAGACCCTTCTTTGAATAAAGAACAAGCTGCCTCCTTAGCATTGCACTGCAGAAAATTGTGTGCTTAACCTCCCAGTGGGTTCGGGGAGTTTTGTTGACCTTTAGGGGAAAGAGGGGAGGCAA